ATTTTACTCTTTCTGTTCAACTGTGGCGTTTTAAAGCGTTTAGGGTTTGATTTGCAGACAGAGGTGCTTAGCCTGTCTTTGTCCTGTAGATGGTGCACATGTTTTAACAGTATATAATGTGTGTTGGAGCAGAGAGGAAGTACAGCGTTCCAGCTCACCATACAACAGAACACGTTCCTGAGAAGAAGTTTAAGTCTGAAGCTCTACTGTCCACTCTCACGTCAGACGCATCCAAAGAGAACACGCCAGGTTAGTCATCACACCCCGACACACCTAAACTCTGAGACCTCTCCCACACACGTTTTACCGACTCCTGTTGCCTCTGCGACCCCTACAGGCTGCCGTACAAACAGCACCACCTCGTCCACCAACAACGTATACAGCGTAAACTCCTCTCAGCCACTGGCCTCCTACAATATGAGCTCCTTACCTGCAGGACCAGGAGCTGGAGCAGGGGCCATCACCATGGCAGCTGCACAGGCTGTACAGGCAACAGCACAAGTAAGAGAATCACTCATTTTTTTATTTTAAATTTTTTTTTGTTTGTTAGACTCTTGTTTGTTACTTGATTTGTGTGATTTTTGTGTTATTTTTATGAGTTGATTTCAATTGTTTAATGTTTCTGTGTGTGTCTGAGCCTGAGAAACTCTTTGGTCAACATTGATATTAAAAGTTATTGGCTCTGTGTCAGATGAAGGAGGGCAGGAGAACATCCAGTCTGAAGGCCAGCTACGAAGCCATCAAAAACAACGACTTCCAGCTGGGCCGAGAGTTCGCTCTGTCCCGGGACAACACGGGTTACCCTTCGTCTGCCCTGGCCTCCACCCTCACCCAGACTCTAACCCCCACCACCACCTCAGACTCCAGGGGCCGCAAGTCCAAGTAAGAGCTCAAATGTGTTTTGGATGTTTGTCCTGAAAAATGAAACAGTGGTACAGCTTGTCCTCGAGCTGCGGTGTTTTGTGGTTATGTCACCATTTCCCATAAGTCGTTACGCAGCACTGTACGATGAAGATGAGTTTCTTCACATTAGCCGGTTTGTGCTGCATTCACTATCTTTCATTTGTGTGGGGTTTTTTTTTTGTTTTTTGGAACTTTTTGCCCTTAGTTATGGCTGCCAAGCATAAGCCAGACTATTGTGATGTTTTTATGCCCTAAATTATGATGTTAGCTCTGTATTAGCATAGCTGAGTGACATGGCTGCTAATGCACAGTATGTGATTTTTTTTTTTAATGGCTGGTGGTTAAGCCTGTCTTCCTGTTTGTGTTTTCCAGAAGCAGTGTCAAGTCTTCCAACCATCAGTCGTCTTCATCGTCCTCCTCCTCCCTCTCATCCTGCTCCTCATCATCAGCCTTGGCTCAAGAGCTCTCCCAGCAGGCCTCAGCGCTACCAGAGGCCGAGGTCAATAGTCAAGTGGACTGGACCTACGACCCCAACGAGCCCCGATACTGCATCTGTAACCAGGTACAAACACTTTCTGTTCATAAGTTTACCACCATGTAAGTACACACCAGGGTGTGTACTTGTACGTACAGACGGGTGTGTATTCGCCAGGTAAACATTGTCCCGTGTTTGAACTGATGATTGGTTTTTTCCAGGTTTCTTATGGAGAGATGGTCGGCTGTGACAACACAGATGTAAGTAACTTCTCAGGTTTTTACATTAACATTGATCCAAAGTTTGTAATTATGAATTACTGATCGGTGATGTCATTGATCCTCTCCTCGCTCAGTGTCCAATCGAGTGGTTCCACTACGGCTGCGTGGGGCTGACAGAAGCACCCAAGGGGAAGTGGTACTGTCCTCAGTGCACGGCTGCCATGAAGAGGAGAGGCAGGCGCCACAAATAGACTGTTCCGAGTGCGGAAGCCGCCACGTTGGATATGTAGACCTGTGGAGAGACTCGGGTCAGAGGTCACACTCTGCAGGTGACGGATTAATCATTTTAGGATCAAAATGAATCAAAAGGAGGCAAAAAAAATAGAGAGGAGTCTGAAATTAAAATAATCAATGAAAAAAGGAAACATTCAGACAAAAATATTTTATCCTCTTCTAATTAAAGTCACAAACCAGGTTGTGATGTCATTTGAGTGACGGATCATCTGGTCAGGTCAGGGTTAAAGGTCAAGGTGTCAGGATCATGTGGAGACTTTAAAAAGAGCTTAACTGATGTCATGTGACTGGAAGTCATTTAAAATCTCATATTTAAACCTGGACAAAAATCATCTTTGATTCAAAGTCTTATTTATTCAAGCCAAACGTAATGGGTGACTAGATCAGATTTTTCAGATTCCCCTTCTTAATCCCAAGTGACCACAGTAATATCTTATCATTGATGTCATTGATCATATTAATGGCACAGATTTTCATCATTCTAGTTTCAGACCTGACTTTTGTCAAGCCCCCACCTCCATCCAGTTAAAAAAAGAGACAAAACTCAGACAAATAAATGTGACCTCACACTTTTGAGAATGTAGAACGTGTGCTAGTGCGTGTATGGTTGTGTGTGTGTGTGTGTGTCCAGGATGTGTACAAAAAAAACAAGTCAAAATAAAAAGTTGATGTTTTTTTTTTTAAAAAAAAGGGACATTTTTGCCTTATCGATCTGTTTTCCGTCATCACTCGGTTTAAATATGTTGAATATTATGTGAACAGTACAGAAAAAAAATCACCAAATGGCCGTGTTGCCTGGTCAGCGATAAAACATTAAGTGCCGTTGACCGTTGCTAAAAAGCTAAATGAGCTGAGCTGATTTATGTTCATTGAAACTTTGAAATTTGGACTCGAAAATGTTTTGATTTGACAGTTTGACAGAACAGTGTTTGTTTGTTCATAGTTCGATTTACAATAGTCACGGAATTTAAGTTCGTGTTGAATTTGGATTTAAGACCAATCCCATTTAAATGTAACTGCTTTGATCAGTCTGGCTGCAGTTCAGTCAAAGCATCACTGGATAATGTTTAATTTCCTGTTGTCTGGAGTCCAGTCGAGAAAAAAGTGATTGTTCAAACTTCACACACACACACACACGCACGTGTGTGTGTGTGTGTGTGTGTTCTATAAATAACCTGTGTGTGTGTGTGTGTGTGGACAGGGGGCGGGTGTAAGGGAGCGGACTTCATGTGAAAAAGGAAAAGAAAAAAAATTAAAGAAAATAAAGCACAGGAAAGGAAATGTGGCGTTCACGGACCTGCGCTCTGTAAATGTGGATTTAAGTGAAACCAGATGGTTAGAGTTGCTGGTTCCGCCTGCCAGGCTCCTCCAGGACTCCTCCAGACTCCAGGACTCCGCTGAAACACACGGATGCTTGTTTTTTTCTAGCAGACGGAACCGTTCCTCAGACCAAAGCTGTGGCTCTTTATCGCGTTAGCAGAGATTTTTATCTTCTTTTGTGAAGTTTCCCCCAATTCTCCTGACGGACCCGTTATTTTCCCCCTTTACTATCAGAGTCTGGATCAGCTGACGCGACGTGGTTTTCTAGCGCACAAGAATCAAACTCGTCTAGTTCGGACCCAGAAGGATGGAGTCTCTATGAGGATTCTGGAGTTTTTTTATGTTTTACTTTAAAAATGCATTTTGAGAAAGAGGCGTAATTAAAGCGACCGACGCTTTGACGTGCACGGAATACGCTTCGAAAACAGTAGCATTTAACGTTGAACCAGCCGCTGGTGGAACTCTCTCGTACTTTTTAGTCTAACGAAGACTTTTTACTTACACCTGTGTATTCGGCGTATTTATTACCGCTGTAGATGATGTTTATGTCTGTTTTTCATTGCATGCGCCTCCACTTTCCTGTCAGGTCAGGACACCAGAGTCTCCGTTGGAGGTGAGCTCGTTTTAAAGTTTTATTCGCTTCTTTAACATTTTTCTTTTTACACACACGAGTTAATATATTTCTTAATAGTTTATTCTGGTACAAAGCGCATTCGTTACAAAATAATTAATGAAAACATTCTATTTAAACTCCTAGCGGAATTGCGCCTGTCCCATCACGTCACCATACTCCATTAAAGAAACGCTCGTTTTAACTTTTGAATGTCTTCTGACGTTACATTTTTATTCTTATCCAATTTTCAGTACGGTTCTACCATCACTCGTGAACAGACTGGTTCTTCGGCGTTGCTGGTTTTTAGTCATAATGAACTTTATAGCCTGGTCCAGTCTGACAACTCTGTTCCAGAGAGCTTAGCGTTAGGTTCCGTCAGGGAAGAGTGCGTTTTCAAGTTTGAACCTTTTGATGAAAGTTTACATGACAACGTCCCTGCCAACTCACATGGAGCCGTTCCTGAAATTCGGATTGAACGTTATATGTTGTACTGAATAAGACATGGAACTTTGAAGTGAGTTTTTCCTGCCAGTAAACTTCGCCCAATGAAGATGAAGAGGAGGTTCTGCGGAGGAACAGCGGGGTAGTAAAGAGCAGTGACCATGCGTGGCCTCTTGCCTTCAGCCAGCGGCCTCCTTCTGATGCTGCTGCGCCGCCGCTCCTGCTCCGGACCTCCGCTGCTGCTGTTGCTCGCCATCGCGGTGTGTTGTCTCTTCTACCAGACCGTAATGGTCGCCCGTAACCGGCTCCGCTCCACAACGCACCCGGCTGCCGAGCTCCAGGGTTGGAAACAATCTCGTGACGTCATGATGGAGGAGACCAGGAGGTTGATCTCTGACCTGGAGGCTGCACACAGAAAAAGAGATGCTCAGGTGAGGTCACAGGTGAGGTGAACACTCCATGACAATGAACACAAATGTTTTAAATGATTGTAGTTTAATATGTGGAAATGTTGACCTTGAATCTATCCATTGCTATTACCACAAAAGTTTTTTGAATCTATCCATTGCTATTACCACAAAAAGTTTTTTTGTTTTTTGTTTTTTTGCATATATTTAAAAGCCACAAGTGAACCAGAATGACATGTCATCAATATTCTCATTTAGAAATAACATGTTTTAAGTTGATGCCATCTGTCTGTAAACACGAACCATAAGTCAAAAACAAAATCGTTACACAATGACATTGTCGTAATATTCCAGCTCTTCTGGAGAGAGAAAACCACCAGGCTTTGCATAATATTTGTGGAAAAAAAATCATTGAACCTCATTCACATCGCTGCGGTCGTCAGCATTCAGAAAAAACTCGGCAAAAAGTCGGAACAATAACCACGAGAAGTCATCGAGAAATTTAACCAAACCTCATAGAGGAAAAAAAACAGAATTTATAAAATGATATTCGGTTTGGGATCGCAGAAATACTGACTCCTTTGAAGTCCATTAGAGAAACAGAACCCTGATTTGAAAATGTGTCATTTTAACTCATGGTTGTTGTGAGGAAGAAACTGATTTGAAAATGTGTCATTTTGACTCATGGTTGTTGATCCTCATGGTTGTTGTGAGGATTAACTGATGAGTTGAACTGAAGTTAATTTTACTAACTCTTTATATAAGAGACAACTCTTCTCTAAGACTTGACGTGTAATTCCAAGTAAATCGGACTTTTGTCCGTGTAGAATATAAAGAAAGCATTGTTCATGTTTATGTATGACTACTGTATAGATACCAAATTAGACCAAACTAATCAATCATCCATGTATTCATTTCAGCTGCTGATCTCTGTCCTTCCTGCAGTAATGGTTAATATTCAAACAGTTTTTCTACTGCGTGTCTCTGTCCGTATCATGTTCCTCAGTAGCAGCAGAGCAGCTTCTCAACTGCAGCATCAAATCTCCCTTGTGCCTCATTGTTTGTTCATTTTTAGGAGGGGAGGAGGGTGGGTTATGGCTCCAAAGTGATTGACAGCTGCGCGGACTAATCAGCTGTCAGGATGTGGGGTCGGGTATTTTAAGTGTGTCCCGCCTCCTCATAGAAATATTTGTGTCTCTAATCAGCCGAGAATCCAGGCTGTAAACTGAACTGTACACAGTGTGAGCTGTCAACTGATCACACACTCACACTCACACACACACACACACACACATACAGTGTGTGTTCTATTTACATGTTTACAGCTATGCATGGCAGTCCAGAACATTCCTGAAGGTCCCACCTTTCAGTCCATTTGCAGTCACACAGAGAGGACAGGGGTGGGCGGGGCTTAGAGGAATGTAAAACCACAGCTGTTAAAGACAACAGTAAACCCCGCCCCTCAGCAGGTGACCCTGGCGACCTGCTGTTTGATTGACAATAGTTCAGACAGGTGCTGCGACAGAGGTCAGACAGCTGGGTTTTCACTCTCTTCATCTCGAGCCAAATGGACATGTCCTGTTTATCGCTTCAGTGTTTACCTTGTAGTGCATGTGTCAAACTCAAGGCCCGGGGGCCAAATGTGGCCCACTAAGTCATTTTATATGGCCCACAGGAGCTTAAAAAGTAGTCCATGCAGCAGAGTTTCTTAACCTGGTAAATTAAAAGTTTTTTTTAGTACACAGAAATGAACAAATTTGTAACTTAAATTAATTATAATCAATTACAGAAACATTTATTAATACATTATGGAGAAGTTACATCTATATAGTCTACTATTGACAACTAGCCCTTCAAGGGGAACTGTACTGCTGATGCCTAATAGCATCAAAAAGAGACTTAAAAGAAGAAAAGGCAACTTTAAAAAACCAAAATTGTAAAAATACAATATTTATAGCTCAAAAGACCAAATTTTACTTACAGCGCCCCCTTTTCTTAGATAGGACTATTGTCGACCAGCCACCACTTAGACCAGGGGTGTCGAAATCATTTTAGTTCAGGGCCCACATACAGCCTGGTTAGATGTTAAATGGGCCGGACCAGTACCATCAGAACATAATTACCTAGAAATAAAAATAAACCCATGTTTTTCCCATTTGTTTTCATTCAAATAAGTTCAAATATATTAGAAAAAATAATGTAATGAAACATCACTAACATGTAGCGTTTGTGCATTTTTTCATCTTCAACATTCGTCAAGCGCACCGTATTGAACCCCCAAGCGGGCCAGTTTTGGCCCGCGGGTCATATGTTTGACACACAGCTACAGCTATTGATTGAAAAATTCACCCAACTTTATTTTGAACTCTCTTATTTTACTCCTACAATCACCACATTCCTACATTTGGACAAAAAGAGAACCCAACCAAAAGGTCTGGGGTCTTTACAGGAAGGAGGACACACACAAACACAGAAATAAAGAAAGAAAACAGTGAGGTCAGGACTGAGACGGCCGCTGCCAACATCCTGTGCCCAGTGTGGACTGAATACTAAGAGATGCTGAGACATTTGTCCAAGTTCAGCTGGACAAAAACACTCAGGTCACCAAAAAAAAAGAGGAACAAATTGATTTAAAAACACACTGAGAGACTGAAATGGTACTTCTTCAAGTTCTAATCTTGTCCTGTCCTCCTCTGATCCAGTCCTGGTCTCAGAAAACTCCACATCGGCGACAGCGGCGGCGGGCCGTGGTTCTGTCAGGTCAACACCAGGTCTCTGACACCCAGGTCCAAGTGTACCAGCAGGTCCTGGAGCAGTTGGACTACGAGGTCCACATGTCCACATATGCAGAGACCAGCAGCGTCCTCCGACCACAGCAAGGTGAGGAGACGAGACAGACATGTGACAACGTACATCTTTTTTTAATAATATAATATAATTAAAATATAAATTAGATTCATAATAATATTATGTAAATTAAAAATAAAATCGAAAAAACATTTTTCTTAATTAAAAGATAAAATAATAACTAAGTGGAAGTGTATTGTATGTTTACAAAAATGAATGACATAAAACAAATTAAGTAGATGAAATTTTGAAGCCCCTTGATTGATATTAAAATCGATTTATTTCGTTCTGGCGGTATTACGTGAGCTGGCGCCGCCGTACGGCACCTTACGTTCCGTCACTTTTCATCACTTTTCGTCACTTTTCGTTTACGGTCGGCTTTTGCTCGGTGCCTACTTGGCAAAGCTGCTTCTACACATTCACCGAAACGTTTTTTATTAGACAAAATACACAAAGAAAAGCTAAAACTTGTTACAATACAGCATATCTTTTTAAAAAGCATAAAAAGAAATAGGGAAAATTTACCGACGTGTTTTAATGGCTGTATGTAAGCGCGCTAACGTCAATTTAAAAAACAAAATAGTTCCTTTCAAAATAAAAGCTTCGTATATGTATTTAGTAATAGGTATCATGCCTATACAATAGTTCGACTCTTAATTTGACAGCAATGTCACGCACGTGTTGGTGGACAGGTAATAGATTGGTTATGGACAGAAACTGGAAGACGGATAACATAAAGACATATAATTGGTCAGATTGAAGATCACCTGATAATAGGTGACCCTGATAGCTCTGATTTATGGACATATATGTCTCTGGGGTACTCTGCAGGAAGTGGGTGGAACCTGTTGCTGTGTCTCAGCAGTGCCGAGCACAGTTGTCTCAGAAGAATGTCCTTCCTTCACCTGCAGAGACATCAGAGGGTGAGACTGATCTTTTCAGCCAATCACAGACTGGGGTGCCGTCCGTGTCCTCACATCTTCTCCTCCGTCTGTGTCCTCAGGTCAACCTGATTCCAGAGCTGATGGATGCCTTCTCTGATGTTGGTGGTGGTCTCTGTCTCCTGTTCGCTCGTCTCCATCTGACGGGTGAGTGAGACAGATCAGTTCAGTTCCACGGACAGTGTTTTATATAAGCCATAAATGTGTGGACAGATTAAGACACTGAAGACAATGAAGCGGACAGTAGAAGATTTATATCTTTTTAATATTATAACAAATCTTGAAGAAAAAAAAATCACATTATCCCCTTTTTTTTTAGATTTACCCATGAGGCCATTCTCCTGTGCATCATCCAATGAGAGGCTGCCATTTACTGATGACAGGTAATTGTCACAGAGTCTATCATAATTAAAGATTGGAGAGACACCTGTCCTAATTTGCCTGTCTGTCGCTTGTCAGAGCTCCACCTCCTGGCCTGGTTGCCATCATTAATGTTTATGTCCTGGTGACATCACTCCAGCCACTGACATCATTCCTGCATGACATCATTGTTGTAACGACCAATCACGAGGCAAGAGGAAGACCCACGAAGGTAAGATGGCTGACAGGTCTGAACTCACGCAAGAGTTAGCAGAGATGCAGCAACTGATGATTGTGACACGCCCGCTGGTGTTTGCTCCGCCCCCTCAGCTGAGCCATTTCCTGCCGCAGCAGCTGGGACCAGAAAACTCCCATCAGGTTTTGAAGCAGATAAAGAAAGTGATTGGTGAAGTGCTGCAAAAAGTTGCAACCGATGACAAGAAAAGACAGACTGACAGGTAAAAAACAATTTGATTGATTGATTGATTGTTGGGTTGATTGATCGATTGATGGATCCATCGATTGTGATGCAGGTGTGTGAAGTGTTACCAGCTGCTCACCTTCACTCTGCTCTTCACTGGTTCCATCTTTCCTGAGATCATCCAGGTGAGACCTGTTTTGGTTTTAACGAATTGTCCACTAGAGGTCAGTGTTCCCCAATGATTTTGGTGGTCGCGGTCTGTCTGCCAGGTGGACACGGACTTGACCTTTGACTCCCTAAAGGATGAGACGTTTGAGGCAGAGATAAACAGAGACCTGATCCTGGAGGACACACTGAACTTCCTGCCGAGGTCAGAGCCTCACCTGTCCTCAGAGACAGAGACAGAGACAAAGGGAGGACAGGTGAGTCCTGCTCTCAGTTTCGGAGAGGAGTAATTGTCATGTAACTGTAATAACACAATCTGTGTGTGTGCGTGTGTGTTTCCACAGTACATCAGCTGCACAGATTCACTTCCTGTGTGTTTGTCCGACGACGACTTTCTTCTTCTTCTGCAGTTCCACAGACAGATGACCGCGGCTTCTTCTTTCCACCTGGTACACAGAGCTCCCCCTCGGTTCACTACAGCCACTCTGTCACAGCTTTATTTTACTTGAAATGCACAAGCCAATGCATCTCGGTTCCTGTGGGTGGCGCTGTTGCACCACCACAGTCACACATGCTCAGACAGTCTCACCACACATGGCATTTAAACCCGACGTTCCTTCTTCCTGATTGACGTTTGTTACTGTTTATTTCTCTGCAGCTTTATCCCAGCACCACCTGCTCCTCTCCCACCTCCTCCTCCCCCTCCTCCCTGTCTGACCTCCTCGTTCGTGTCAGTTGTTACTACAACAACCAGCGGGGTTTCAACTCCAGGTGAGGACAAAAACCTACCCAGAATCCTCTGGTCTGTCAGTTATCCTACAGTCTGAGAAACAGATTTTTTTCTTCTTCTACAGAACTGATGAAAACAATTCTTCCACCAATCAGGAGTCAGCTTTGTCCCCACAGGGCGGAGCTTCAGGTGAGGCACGGAGATACCAAAAAAAAAACACGTCACTCAAGTATTTTGGACGCTTTGACACTTTTTTTTCCTCTGTTGGGTCTTCCAGGTCTTTGTGCGGACCCCCACCTCAGACAGATCTATACTCACCCCGGGCTCTCCTTGACGCCGCCCTTCAGTCGACTGGTGAAGGAGTACCGTGCTGAAGTGACCTTTGACACGGTAACAATCCGGATCCGGCCCGTGCCCGTCAGTTCGGGTTGTCAGGTCCATCTGGACGAGCACCGGGGACCCAGGTGAGACAGGACCTTTGACCTCTGACCTTTGATCCCACCGCTGACCTCACTTCACAGACAGTTAATCCTGTTGTTGACCCCAGGATGGTCAACTACCCTCTGGGCCTCGGGTCCAGCAGGATCAACATCCTGGTGACAGACGACAGCGATCCAGAACCTGAAGTCCTGACCGTCTACACTGTGCACGTGAGCCGGGAGAACCGACCCAGTCTTCCGATGTTCTCGGATCACGTGACCTGCAGCTTCCTACAGGTAGATGACGTTTGTTTTCAAGCCAAACAACACAGCATCTCTGTTCACTGTCATGTTCATCTTCTTCTGGCTGGCAGTCAAACTTAGGTGCCTTACTGCCACCTACTGGCTGGAATTTCTGTATGAATGTCAGTAGTGTGAAAAGTGAGATTTAATAAACCTGGAAGTTTTCATTGTGTAGCGGTTATCACCCCTGCCTCACACATCTGCCTTACGAGCAGAAGGTCATAGGTTCGATCCCTAGAGGAACCACATACTTAATGGCTCCTCTTGAGGCAAGCCGTGTGTGTTACAAAGACAAAGACTGTGAGTTTTCCTATTGTGAGACTTCAGTTAAGAGACATTAACGTGTTGAAGTCGTGATTGTATTCCTCTTATATTTGCATCTCTGGATTTCTGATGTGTCTCCCCCGTGTGTCCCCTGTCCACACCTGTGTCTCAACCTGAGGAGACTGTTGGTGGTCAGTCGGGGGGGTCAGCGGTGCCCCCTCTGGGGCCCCTGGGGAACAGAACGTCCATTGATGCAGCGTTGAGGCCTGGGTCTTTGAAGATGAAATAAAAGCGGCGTTGGCAGCGGTGGCGGCGGCAGATTTCACTTTAAAGGCAGGTGATGACCACAGCAGGGTAACAGTGAGGTCACGGCGGAGAAGTGGACCACGCTTTGATCAGAGACACTTTGATTCTTCAAGTGGAAACATCTCATCAGTGTCTGGTGACTGCAGTTTCCAGAGATCAGTGATGCACATCAGGAGGTTCATGTTATGGACGACGAAGATGAAGATGGAGATGGACTGTTATTTAACCACATGGATCGTTAACCAGGAAAATGGATCATCCACTTATTATCAGCTGTGCAAAGGGGAGGAATTAAATCGACAATTATTTCATGAGAAAAAAAAAACCAGAAACACAAGGCAACGTTTTATTAGCCGCCTTAGATCTGCTCTATATGTTGAACCAAAGCACGACCTGACGATGTGTGTAAACACATGAAGACTTCATCTGTTACACCTGCTCCGCACAAGAACTTAGTCAGGGGTTTGAGATGGAAATGTTGTGTTAAAAAAAAAACCTGTTTGAAACAGGGGCGTCAAACATACGGCCCGTGGGCCAAAACCTGTCCGTGAGGGCGTTGAATCCGGCCCGCTTGATGAATTATTTTATTTTTATTTTGAAAAAAAATAAGTTTTTGCAAAATTACACTTACATTACTATATTTACATTATATTTCATTATATTTATATTACGCACAAAAGGACAAAAAAATACATGGACTTAAACGAGGGGTCCTTGGTTTTGAACGTCTTAAGGCGTTTTGTGGTTACGTCGCCATCTACCATAAATTTATTAAGTAAGTCTTAGTCTAACATTCCGACATATGGCGTTAACTGTGCAGAACTAGTTGGCAAATGGAGTGGACAAATACGTCGTTACACGTCTCTACGCACAGAAGACGGTTTTGTTTATTTATACATTGGTTTGTGCTACATTTGCCTTTTTCATTTGTGTTCTTTTTTGGGGGGTAATTTTTGCCCTTCATTTTGGCTCCCAGGCGTAAGTCGGACTCTTCTGATGTTTTTAGCCTAAGCCTTCTGACTTACGGTGAAAATGGAGTTACATTGAACCATAGGGACGGAACGCCGACGTTAGTTAGTTTATATAGTATAGTAAAATTAAATAAATTTCATATTGCACATTATCTAAATAATGGAGAAGTGGTAATTAAAATTACACCCTTAATCACGATTAAAATTGTTTAAAAACTTTGCCCAACGCTTACTCTGTGAAAACGTTTTTGAAGCTTAAAACTTCAGAAAAAGGCATACAGTCCCTGACCTGGACCTGGTTCCTCCAGGACCACGTCAGTAGACTTGGCATACGGTTTCCCCGCGCTCCTCTACGTGGCGGCGGCTCAGATGAAAGCGTCGGCCGTTTTGTAGTCGCTGTGTTTTGGCAGCGGCCGATCTCAGAGCGTTTACTCTGAGCTCAGGTACGAACAAGAAAATCCCTGTTAAGTTTTCTTATGGCACTTTGTCGTGAGCTACGACACCGACGTGAGGAATGTGGCGCCGCCGCCACGAAATCCAGAGGGTGTGTGCGTGTGTGTGTGTGTGTGTGAGAGCTCTAATGTGGTCCAACTGTCCCTGTAGGGACAAGTGTGTGTATGGTTCAGTGTGTTTGATGGCAGCGTTTCATTGAACCCCAGTCAGACGTGGCGGTTCTCACACGGCAACTGAGTCCCCCTGACCTTTGACCTCTGAACACAGGGACACAATAGAAGGAAAGATCTCCGGCTGTCAAATGTTTTGAGGACAAATCTGTGTGACATCTGTGTCTTCATGAGTCCCTGGAGTCAAACCTTCTCCATTTTGGTTGCAGGACTGTGGACTCCTGGTCCGACCGAATCAGTCCTGTGGTCTTCAGTCCCACGTCCCATCGCCAGGTCCACGTCAGAGCTGCAGCTCAGGACATGAACCAGGTCTGTGTCTCCTGTCCCTGTCTGTTACTTGGTCTCTTATGTGTTCCATGTCACCCAGTCACCTGTTTGTCCCTCAGTTTTCTCGTCCGTCTGCCATGCCCCAGATCTGGTCACACTTCATGACTGTCTCTCACTTGTCTCAGGTCGTTGGATAGTTCCGTGTCTCAGTTGCTCTGACAACAGGACCTGTGATTGGAGGGAGGTCTCCTGGCAGCCGGACAGCTGTTACCACCCGTTAGTGGACCGTCCTCTGCTGCAGGACTGCATGAAGGACAGGAAGGTGACCTCAAGTGTTGTCCGACAATTAAAGATGACGTCAGAATGTAGACGATGTCTTCATCGCCGCGTCCTCTCACTTCCTTGTAGCTGCTCTTCATTGGAGACTCCACCAACCGGGGGATGATGTACTTCCTGATGGAGCGCGTCAATGTGTCTCTGGTGGACTGGGGGAAGGCCCACGACACGCTGGTCTACCACAACTTGAACAATGGACGGACTCAGGTCAGCTACTCCTACTATCCTCAGTTCTGGCTGGAGAAAGGACGGCGTCCAACGTTCAGACAGGCTCTGCTGCAGCTGCTGCACAGGTGACACTGGGGGGTTTGACGGACACCGCAGACAGACGTTCTGTACGGACCACTCACGCACGTGTTTCCTGTTTCCTGTTAGGTCGCGACCTCTGGTGGACTCCCACCAGACGGTACTGGTGGTGGGGGGAGTCCAGTGGCTCAACGTCGATCATCTAAAGACAGTCAGAGACGTGCTGGACAGGTGAGGACATGTGATTCCATCCACTCTAGGATTGGCTGTTGTGGTCATGATGACATTACTGTGTCTTTCTTCGACAGAGAGTCTCTGAGAAACATCCTGGTGGTGGTCAAGTCCTTAGGGATGGGTTTCCATTTGCCCGTGGACGGGATCAGGTCTCTGAATCTAGTACGTCCTTATTTATTGAAGTACTTCCCGTCAATTTTATGTCCTCATTTTGTCCATACTCCCGTGCCCCGCTCGGTCCCTCCACTGTAGCAGTATGTTTATTCTGTCCTCCTTGTCCAAACTGTGATTATTCTGTCCTCACCCATGTCCACTGGTATGGTCCAATGTTAACGCTGTGGCTTCAGAAATAAAAAATCTCCTTCGTGTTTCCCAGAAAGAAATCCAGGACCTTGACACACACAATAGTAACATCATTGCCACTGCAAAGCATCATGGGCACGAGGTGATTGACACATTCAGTATCACGATGGGTCGTTACAAAGAGTTCCTGCAAGGACGCTGTGCGTGTCACTTCCACGAGGTAAGAATTTTCTCTTTCAGAAATAAAGAAGTTCCACAGGGTACATGTCTCGGACTCCTTTAATTCAGAAAAGAACAATGATTTTACAAGTTTTGTTTCTGCTCAGGTGGAAAAATTTGAGTCCCCGGCCAACAGTTGGTTCAACTTCACTGGACCTGGACTAGACCAGAGAGCGGAGCCTGAAAACTTCAGCTATCACGTGAGAGGACCAGTGAACCAGGTGTACTCTGAGGTCCTCCTGAGCCGCCTGTGTCCCAGAACCAGAACTTAAATGTCAGTGTGTGTGTGTGTGTGTGTGACTGTTGTAATATTTAATAATAATAATATAATAATATTTAAACATATCATTGCAGTTAGTTATTATTTACGAATGAAGATATTTAAAAGTAACCTTAACCTATCAGTAACTTTCTGGCTCCAGATACACGACCTTCTCACCTTTATACCCCACTTTACCAAATACATTCTTAATGCTAACAGTTAGCTTAACACAGTTCTCAATTTTCAGACCCCCCCGCCCCCGACCTCCTCCGCAAATTGAAATACTATAGAGAACCTGAAAACAAGTATATTTTTATCTGTACAAACTATTGTTTGAGTTGCTGCCACCTAGTGACTGGAGACTGGCATTACAGCAGTGGTACACTTATCTCCAGCGTGCCATATTCCATTGGAAGCCCCTCATGTACCCTCTGGCACCTAAACCGCACACCCCGGGGGCCCGCCCCACTATTTGAGAAGTACTGGCCAGTAAATGCTAATTATTAATGAGCGGATGACAGGTATTAATCCTGATTAAAAAAGGATACGTCTCTGGTGGTGCATAATATCAAGAAGTTGTAAAAACGTTACGAATTAGTTACTTGTTACGTGTTAATTGTTTCATTTGCACGTGTTAGCTGCTCACTATGACATAGTACTAGTTTCTATTTAGTACATAGTTATGTATGATCGACACGCGCATCCACTAAGATGCTTATGATTTAATCTCTTTTAAAAACTTTTTTTATTACTTACTAGCTATTACTAGTAATCTGTGACTCATATTGAAACAGTTTTATCTTAACTGCTAATGTACTTGGTAGTTCTCCTGTGTACCACTTTGTACCAAACGCTCACTGAGGCTCGTGATATTCTTCCTACTACTCACTACTACTATCCTTTCTTATCTATTGGTTTCTTACTTGTACTTACTAGCCTTTGTGTTATTATTAGCTAGTTGCTGTAAATGCGTACCAAAGCTGCTCAGATACGTACTAGCTAGTTTTTGATGTGTAGTAACCCTTTTATACACATGAAAAGTAGTGATCTAGATCTAGATACTAAATGATGTAGATTAGTAATTTAGTTTTCTGGCGTCAAAGTTTCCCTGGAAAAATCTTTCAAATCGAAGTTCCAAGATAGTTTCTTCTACTTGACCCCGCTTTTTGACCTTTTAATGATTGTGTGTTAACCTCTTGATGACCGGTCATTGACCTGTCACTGATCGCTGTCTCTCAGACTTTGACTTTTTCTCCATCTCCGTCTCCGTCATGTTTGCGTTCTTACCTCATTCTGCATTTGAAAAAGAAAAATCCAAATATCTTCAAATACCAAAGATGATATATCAGTGTCTTATTATTGTTTTTGTGAACTATATTTTTCTATATTTTTCTACAGATTTTTTTATTGCACATTTCACATGTTTACATGCAGGACAATAGGAAATATATGGATATTTATATGAATGTATCAGATTTTATCTACACATTAACTACTTTTTAAACCAGTACTTTTTAAACGTGTAGGCGATGAAATGTAACATTTACAAACTATAATTTTAATAAATAATTGTCATTGAAACGCTCTTTTAATTTTATTTGTGAGCGATGTGATCAGTCATCGATTATTAGTTAGCAGACTTGTCAGTGTCTGCGTCTTGGACCGTCCGACCAATGACAGTCCAGCTGTGACGTCAGCTGCTGAATATGAATAATTTCTGGCCCAATAGGGATCCTCTGGGACGAGGACTGGTCAGAGACGGTATGAATATTTGCTGTAAAATAAAAGTGTTACGAGAAAGTTCTGAGAATTCTCATTACAGAGCACAGAGGAGACCGACGCTATCGTTTTATGGACGTCATTATGGACTGAAGTACCAACTCCTGGAGACCGGCTCCAACCATGACCCATAGTCCCTCTGATGGAGACTGAGAGATGGATGCAGAGGTGATGGAGAACCGGAAGCGTGGACTCCGGTACATGTGCGCCCTGAGCCTGCTGTTGGTCTCCGTGTGTCCGCTGAGCTGCACAGGCAGCTGGATGTGAGTCAATTTGCATTATTAAATTTATTAAATAAAATTGACGTTTGCATATTAACAAAATGTTTTTAAGATTTTAAATTTGACCTGAATTTACCTGATGTCGTTTAACAACATCGAAGTAAACGTTTAATAGCCTTCAGCTTACCTTTTACATTGTTGATCAAATAAAAGTAATAATAATATTAAGTATTATTATCATTATTATATTTTAGTTGTTTTGTGTTGTGACACTTAAACCAAAAAACCGAGTGTTTTTAGTAGTAACGTAAAAACGAAACCTTATCCACAGCCGTTAATATTAGCCGCATCCGCTAACTGTCCAATTAAGTTTTTGGATTTTTGGATACCAGATTTAAAAAAAAAATTGTTTAATCGTTTCTAAAATCATACAATTTGTTTTTTGTTTTTTAATCTAAAATGAGAGTTATTTGTCGCCAGGCTGCAAAGAATCAACTTAAATTATCATAGTAAAATGATAGCAAGTGAACCAAACTCCGTTCGAAAATCACTAAATTAAAAGCTGACTTAATGTTTTCTTTTAGTTTTTAACTCATCGTGTGAGATTTATTAAATCACTACAGGCTAAATAAGACCGAATTTACTCCTCGGCTTAGTTTTTTATTTATTTATTCATTTTTATTTAACACAAACACACATTGCGTGGAGCTGAATTAAATTCCAGCTTCTACGTTTTTGTGCCAGACTGTGGAGGTTCTGATCAGAACTGATCCTGAATCAGAGGTGAAGCCCGAACGGGTCCAGATGTTTGTCGTTTTTCACAGGTTTTCATGGTTCTTAGAAAACACAGCGGGTGAATCGTCTCCAAATTTTAAGCTCTTACAAGTGTGACGTCTTCAAAAGCGCATGACGTCTTCTAATCGAATTCCAATGACAAAAACGTACCATTTATTTTTGCACCGCACGTTCAACTCAATTACATTTAATAAAAAGCCCAGCGTTGACTTTCAATCACAGACGAAGTGATCAAACGTACGTGGACTTCAAAGAACCCTTCTGACGTCACCATTCACAGACCAAAGATCGTTTCTGCTTCTGATGTTTCTGCTCATTTGATTCATATTAATGTGATTTTTTTCCCTCCCTCCGTCTACTCGAGCACACACACGCACACACACAGAGGTGAATTCTTAAAATGAGTGCGAATAATGAGGAAGGTTTGGTTCCGTTTTATTTGACTCTAACAGAACCAGACTCACAAGAAGTTCTGTTCATGTGGACCAGATGTTGGAGCTCGTCTGGTTTTCATTGATTCTGTTTTTTAAGAGGAAAAAGATCAGAGAAAGTGCGGAAATGTCAGGTTTGGAGAAAATAAACTCCGAGGTCTGTGACATTAACAGTTCCTCCTTGTCTCGTTTACAAGTTTATGTTGAGTTTAATAAAATATTAAAACTGTTGATTTTTTTATTTGACAAGCATCTAATGCACCACGTCACAATATTGGCGTTTGAAGTTCCTTGTTTTGTGTTACGTCATTACGATACTCTACCCCAGTGGTACCCACGCTTTCTCTGCTGCGCCGCCTTTACGTTCATAAGAAAATGTTCGTACCCCTACTGAAAAAAAAAATAGGACAAATGTTCGTACCCCTACTGAAAAAAAATAGGACACGCATATATTTTGTTTTCAGACTTTTTATTTCACACACTTTGAAAGTAACTGTTTTAACGCACCTTAAATATGTCCATTTTATGGCAAAGACTGAAATATTTCCCAGTGTACCATTGGAGGAAGCCATAGTTTAAGAACCAGTGTTGGGAAATTACAAATTTGATCATCTAATGGGAATCTGTGTGTCTGATCATATCAGTTAAAAAGACGACAGTTTTAGCCTCTGTTCACTCTTGTCATTTATGGTTAGCATGAAACGGTTAGCAGCTCACCTTTTAAATAACGTCTGGTTTGAACATGAGTTGAGGAGATACACCAGCTATATCAGATGAAGACGATGAAGAAGTAGAAGTATGTTGACCTATCCTCCTGTTTCCTGCAGGTGGCTCGGCGTGACCTCAACTGGAGCCCTGGAGAAGCTGGACTGTACCAACCTCCCTCTGAGCCACAGACAGCGGGAGCTGTGCAGGAAGAAACCCTTCCTGCTGCCCAGCATCCAGGACGGAGCCCGACTGGCCATCAGAGAGTGCCAGAACCAGTTTAGACACGAGCGGTGGAACTGCTCCACCACCAATGAGGTGTCAGTGTTCGGGCACGAGTTGACAAGTGGTGAGGCTAATAATACTCCAGATAACCTTACATAATAGTCAACTATACTTAATTAATGGTTATTATTGAGCTTTTCTATTTTTTTCTCCATATTTTTTACCGTGAGAACGTAGTCAGATTCAGTCTGGAAATAGGTTTTGTTATCGCCTGGAAAATTTGGGTCCTAAAATTTGAACCGGTTCAGGAGTCGATGGATGGACCGTTCACATGAACTAAGATAAATGACATGTAAAAGTCATGCACAAAGGCTTAAATGCTTTTAGCTTTTTCTACGCCATCTATTGGGAAAATGTGGCCATTGTACAGAAAAGATCTATTGGGAAAATGTGGCCATTGTACGGAAAAAGGCAGAAGTATAACGGTAATATAAATTAACAATATAAATTGGCAGGCCGGATTAAAAAGCCAAACGGGCCACATCTGGACCCCAGGCCGTAGTTTGCCCATGCCTGCTCTAAACACACAAAGCGCAATACTGCACCAGGCCGTAGTTTGCCCATGTCTGCTCTAAACACACGAAGTGCAATACTGCGTCCTATCGCAGTCCGTCAGTACCAATTCTGCAGCCCACATCAATCTCCAGGGTTTAGATCTAAATCATGCTGCCCGCTCTAATTGTGTTGAGATTTTCATTGGGTCATGACCTACTGCGAAGGATGATGGTTCGCTAATCCTCTGTACTTTTTCCCCAACAGGAACCAAAGAAACTGCGTTCATCTACGCAGTGATGGCGGCAGGTCTGGTCCACACTGTCACGCGCTCCTGCAGTCAGGGCAACATGACTGAGTGCGGCTGCGACCCTCGCCTGCAGGGCAGCAGCGTCCCTGCAGAGGGCTGGCACTGGGGGGGCTGCTCGGACCACATCCAGTATGGAACCTGGTTCAGCCGCAAGTTCATAGACAACGCTGTCAAAAACATGTCCACCAGCAGGGGGGGCTACACACTACTCGCCATGAACCAGCACAACACTGAGGCCGGACGTCAGGTGAGCACTGAAACAGAACTCGATTCCATCCATGATGTCGGACTCAAACCGTGACTAACTCGTTGTCTTTCAGGCCATCGACAGGACGATGGCGACAGACTGTCGTTGTCATGGCGTTTCTGGTTCCTGTGCCGTGAAGACCTGTTGGAGGACGATGGCCCCGTTCGAACGTGTGGGCCTCTACCTGAAGGACCGGTACGAGCACAGCGTCCAAGTGTCGGACCGTTCAAAGAGAAAGACCAGGAGGAAGGAGCAGCGCCGCCCTCAGGTCGACAAACACCAGCTCATCTTCTTCAACAAGTCTCCTAACTACTGCCTGGAGGACCAGCGGAGGGGGGTCGCTGGCACCAGAGGGCGGCGTTGTAACCGGACATCTGCAGGACCAGACGGCTGCAACCTGCTGTGCTGCGGGCGGGGGTACAACACCCACGTGGTCAGACACGTGCAACGCTGCGAGTGCAAGTTCGTTTGGTGCTGCTACGTTCGCTGCCGCCGCTGTGAGAGCATGAATGACATGCACACCTGTAAATAAAGGAATCGGAGCACGGACCTGCGGACTTCCAGATCCTTGGACGACTCCCTAAATTTTTATTTTCTGTTATCTTGGATCCTCTTGGGAATGCTCTGATCCTGGTTACAACTTTCTGGATCCTGATTTAAATTCAGTTCTGGATTCAGACTATGGACGGTGATTGGACTGCCCCGGATCCTCACATTTAATTCTGTTTAGAGCGCCCCCACCTGCTTTGGACTGCGTAGCGACATCAGGTTCAGAACCTTTAGGTTCCTGTTCAGACTACTCTAGGTTTGTTTTTGTTCACACTGCAGCAGATCCTGCTCTGGATCCTGTTCAAAGAGGTTCCAGTTTTCCCTGGACTGTTTCTAAACATCTTTGGACGATCTTTAGAATTTTCTAGATCACGTTCTCTGTTCTAGATGTTCTGAATTATTTTTGGCTGTTAACATCTTCACAAACAAACAAACTTGATGTAAAAAAAATAAAATATCTTTTGTTTTGATGAATTAAACATTTATTTATATGTAAACTTTTGCATTTTTTTTATCTTTTGGGATAATTGTTCGTAAATAAAATTGACTTTGGATCATAAAGAAGAAAAGTCAAGAAACACTGATGGGTTTGGATTTTTTTTGCTACAATCTAAAAAAATTCAGATCGAAAAGGACGGTTGGAACAGGTGAACAACTGAAAATAAAATAAAAACCGTGAGCGTGTCAGACAGCGGCTCAGTGAAATTTTCCCTTTTTGCTCTTTTTCAGCTGAATTCCTCTGGTCCAGTCAAAGCTCTGGTGTGAGAAGTGGCGACGCTGCGTCAGATGCTTCCACAGTTTTCCAACGCTGAGCGGATGTTTGAAGAAAACGAGTCGCTTCGCTCTGAAGACTCGATGTTGCGTGAGTAAACAAACACCAGAAACATTGGGAGGAATGTCATTAACGAAATAAAAAAAAACAAAACACAGACTTGAATTTAGTTCAGCTCGTAGTTAAATGGACTTACGTTAACATTTGATGTTTATTATTTATTGAATAAATATGTTATAGTTTTGCAAATTAAGTTTTTAAGTTTTGAGATATCAGAAAAATAGTAGTCGTGGTAGTAGTCCTGGTTCTAGTGTTTCTAGTTTTCTCTGCTCTGACCTTCATATGGCAGCAAATTAAAAGCGACCACTGAAAGAAAGAAAAAACAATTTGTATCAATTTTGATTTATGAAAAGAAAAAAAATAATCTCAGATCACAGTTTGTGTTTTACCTGGTGATGTTTCATGAGTGAAACTGAGTCAGCAGATAGAAATATTGATCCTGTTACTGGAAGCACAATGTGTGTGTGTGTGTGTGTGTGTGTATGTTGGTGTGTGTGCGAGTTGAATGGCAGGAAATCCTGGACTGTATACGACTGTGTTCTTTTCTGTTTTCCTGAAAACTTTCTGCTCTGTCATCACACACTGATAACACACACACACACACAAAATTACACAAAATTACACACCTTAAAGCAGTGGTCCCCAACTTTTTTTATAACAGGGACCTATCGGCCAGTATCAGCCTTTACTGTGGACCGCTAATACTGCGCCTCAGTTGAAGGATCATTAAAATTTCAAAATAAAACATCTTTCAGACTTTTTTCTGTTAGTATCGGAGTCTGACTGACCTTTGACCTTTTGTTTTGCAACATTGACAGATTACTTTTTTTATGAGTACTTTTTTCATTGTGTCCCACTGCAACTCGATACCAAATGACCTATGGGCCGGCACCGGTCCCCGCACCGGGGTTTGAGTACCCTTTCATAAATGCATAAACAACAAAAAAAAAAAACACAATTCCATTTCATTCAAAAAAATAAGTCCATGAAAACCCAGAGAGTCACTGTTCTACTTCCTCTCTGTTTTCCTGCAGTAGCGGAGTCATTCCCCTTCCTGACGGCAATTGGAAGAAAATCCCTCCATTCATTCTCATCAAGGTCGGATAGTTTTCATATTGTCCTGCTCTCACCTTTTTTTTCCCGTCCCACCCCTGAAGTTCTCCGGCAGCCCCCACTGGAGGCACACTTCTGCTTTGATAGCGGGCCACAGCCTGGGTTACTGGTCAGATTACATGATGAAACTTTGTGTGTCCTCTTTTGTGACCTCTTCATGAGGGTCCGAATGGCTGACTCTGCACTTCAGGACAGTGTCAGGATGTCCAGGAAACACACTGGGGGGGACAACGGGGGGAGTAGGGGCTAAAAAGAATCCGACTGGAAGAGTCCAGGATCAGAGGAGAACAGCAGGTTCTAGGACCAGGAGTCTGGGAGTAGGAGAGATGGAGGTCAGACAGAGCAACAGGCTGATGGTTTTCACTCAGATGATGATGATGATGGTCATGATGATGATGAAGTCTGAGGCAGCAACAGCCAAACAGGTACATTCATTCATTCAGTCAGTCTATTCTCACGTTTAATCAACTGTATTATAATGAGCTCTTATTCCATGATGTGTACTGGCTGTGTCACTTATTTAGTCCAATTTGATGGACTGCTGCTGCTATGTTTCTTTTTCTATTAGCATTTTTTAGCAAGTGGCAACAAGTCTAATGCTTATTCTAATGTTAATACCTTTTTCAGATTTGTTTCATTCACCCCACTGATCTGGGTATTTTACATGGACCAGGTCCCCCTGCTGGCAAAGCGAAGAAATAGCTAAAAAAAAATAAATAAAGAAAAGAAAAAAAATTGGAATAATATTTTTTAAATGAAATTATAAAACTGCTTTTTTTAAATATTTTCTTGTTTGCAACTGAAAAAAAAAGATAAACAAATGAGACCATGAAATAAGTGAGAACATGGCTTTCATTTTAGATAGTTGTAAAACTTAATATTTGTAGAACCCTAGATTCAACGTAACCTTACTTTAGCTGGATTTAATTTGCTTAACCTTATATTTATACTGAAGACTCAAACTTATAATTGAAGTCTTGGCCATCATATTTTCAAATTTGGGGTTAGAATTATTTATTTATTAATTTAGTCTATTTTAGTAACTTAGCTAACTAAGCCACTTTTTGATTTTTTTTCTATTTAAACTGCTTTAAATTTGAGTTTCTTCTAACTTGTCTTTGCATAATCTTGTTTTTATTAAGCTTAGGGTATATTAATTTGACTTAAGTTTAATATACATTTTCATTTGGCTTACGTTTTTGATACCTAGCTTAGTTTTAGATATTTTATTTTAGTATATTATATAGGTATGTTTAATAATAAATATAATATAATATTATAGATTAACTTAGCTATTTCTTTATTTAACTTTAATATTTGTTTTTAAAAAAAGTCAAAATTGGGTTTGGGTATTATATGCTATGTTCTGCTTTTGTGTTTAGCTTAGCTAAGCGTTAAAACATATAGGTTTAGCTTATAAGACACTTTAAAAGGCACTAAAGTTTAACTATCTTAACATTATGTGGCTACAATTAGCTCTTTTTGGATATAGCTCAGATTGTGTCGGTTATTCTTGGTCCGTCAGAACATCTGCTCGAACTCCACGGTGCTGCGGACGAGGACGTCGTGTCACTCCTGCAGCATCAGTGTGTTGATTCCATGTCGAACCGGGTACAAACAGACGCCAGGATCCATGGCTCAGGACTGCAGGTGAGCGCCACCACTCGGAGGAAAAGGGAAACCGCTCATGCTCATGAGTTCTTATTTATGTATATGTGTTTTATGTATATGTGTACGTGTGTCTCAGTTACTTCGTGAGGACAATCAGTCTAAAAGTATCACTCAGCGGCTGCTCCTTCGAGTGTTACCGTGAGGCTGAGGTGAAGAACTGCTGTCCTGGTTTCTGGGGTCCAGACTGCATAGGTGAGGAACACACCAACAAAGGCAAACTTTATATATGATGTGTCTAATAATTAACGAAATAAACGATAAGGTTGGTGTTCAATAAAATAACAAATGAAGCAAAATTAACGAAATAAACGATAAGGTTGGTAGCTTAAGCTTGACGATGCGCATTAGCCCTTGTTTAAAACGTCCTGCTCCATGTTACGCGTTTTAAATTGTTAAAACCGCTTTTTCTATAAAATTTAAAATAAATAAATAAATAATATTTTTTTAAATAGCCAAAAGATATAAAAACTCTAAAAAGACAGATAACGGAAACATAGTAAGACCAGAAGTTTATCATTAGCTTGTAAATAGCTAAACGTTAGCATAGCGATTGCTAGAAGTATCAAAAGATATTTTAAAACATGTACATTAAATACTCTACAATTTTTTATAGCAGTAGTTGGAAAAAAATGATTGATTTATACTGTCTAACTTCATTTACAAGACCTACACTGAAGTTCATACAGAAAAATCACCGATTTTAGCTCCTCCAGCCTCAGGACATAGAATGTTCCTCAATGGAGCAACAACACCTGCTGTGCGATACCAAATTTTCTTACAGTACTTTGAAATGAGCAGTTTTCCGAGCCTGTAAGTAACACAACTGCTATATGTTGTGATGGTAAAGTGCTGATGTAGTAGATCAGGACGTCTGTCACATGTTTTCAGTACTGGATCCTGAAGATCAGGATGCAGGCTAGTTCTCAAGGGACCAAACCTTCCTTCCTTTTTGCAGACTCTTGGTTAGAATGTGCTGACTGACTGAAAGACCCCCCACCCCCCACCCCAAGCACAACAAAACACACACACAACTGACTTCTTCTTATTTGTGTCCCAGATTGTCCTGAAAGTGCTGAAACACCCTGCAGTGGCAGAGGAATCTGCTCCGACGGACTGGGAGGAAACGGAAACTGCACCTGCCAGGTATGACCTCAGCACACACCACAACAACAGACATCTGTGAGACACTCATCATATCACTGTGTGTGTGTGTGTGTGTGTGTGTGTGTGTGTGTATAGTCAGGGTTTGCAGGAACAGCCTGCGAGGACTGTTCACCTGGTCGTTATGGTCCTACCTGTAGTTCAGGTAAATATCCGTTTTTTAATAGCTTTTTTGTAACTTTTTTCAGGTTGTATGAATTCATGAAAATCCAGTTGTTTTCCACTGATATTACTCTTTTTTGTTGTTGTTAAAACTATTGGTCTACTAGACAGATTTGTTCAGAGGGTCCACATTGTTTGCCTTATCCAGCAAAATACCTTTTGGGCCATGCTCTCAGTCTTTGCTCAACAAATAAGACAAGCGACATGCAACATGAACTAGTTCAGTGGTTTCAGAATCTTTTTGGCTGCACACCCTTCTGTATCCAAGCCTACAATTCCTACAGAGAAGAATTTTATTTAGTCATACTCAAATACCAGAAAACACATATAACGCACATATACAGTATAAACCCCGCAATTATTTATTAATTAAAATGACAGCTTTTAATTTTACAGAGGAAATGTTTATTCACATTTCTTTATTGTGTCAAAAAAAAAAACCACTGAAGAAACATGAAACCGCCATCACATTTTTTATTGCCACACCCCACTGTGGGACTCCCTGAACTAGTTCCCTGTGCAATCTCTAAAGCCATGATTCTGCTCCAAACAAGTAGTTTTGGTTTAAAAAGTGTCCACCAACTCTGATGTGTCAATGAACCAGGGAAATCCCAGTGATGTTTTTGTAAGGTGTCGTTAATTACTGCAGTTTTTTACAGGTCTTCAAAAAGGCTGGACATGGTCCTGGGACTTGAATATTTTGAGCACACTAGGATAAAAATGTCACAGTCTAAAAACACAAGAATAACTGGGAAAACTAACAAAACTTTGTCTTTAGTCCAACATTCTGGGTCTTCCCCCAAGGAGCAAGAACCCTTGAAACCCCTTTAATTACTTCTACTGTGTCTCTATCAGAGTGCACCTGTCTCCACGGTCTCTGTAACTCTGGACTGAACGGTGACGGTCAGTGCACCTGTTTCTCTGGATACAGAGGTCCCAGATGTGACCAAGGTCAGTGAGCGACAGCATGTCTCCTTCTGTCATGTCTGATCTTTACTCAAACTCTCTTTATGACCTGCTTTGCATCCCAGAAATTCCAGAGTGCACAGCTCTGCGCTGTCCTCAGGGTTCCCGCTGTATGGAAGAAGCTCTCACAGGAAAACTTGTGTGTCAGTGTTCACCTGGTTACCAGAAGTCAGGAGACCAGTGTTTACGTGAGTTCGTCTTGAAACTTCCCTTCAATCTGCAGATATTTTATACAAAACAAAGAAAGTTCTAGAATACTTTTTTTTTTTTTTTTTGGGGTCCGTAGCCGTGAACCCATGTCTTAGACAGCCTTGTCATGTCCATGCGTCCTGTGTCCACACGGGTCCAAACCAGCACCTGTGTGCCTGCCATGAGGGCTACAGTGGTGACGGGCGAATCTGCATGGCCGTCGACCCGTGTCAGATCAAACAGGGAGGCTGCGATTCAGAGTCTGCCAAGTGTGTCTACGATGGACCGGGAAAGGTAAGAGGAGGCAGAGCCATTCAGACCAGGAGCAGGAGCAGGACGACCATACGACCTCACATGTGTCACTCTGGTGTTTCAGTCTCACTGTGAGTGTCTTTCTGGTTTTGACCATCTATCGGCTGGTGCCTGCCGTCTGAAAGAGTTGTGTCGACCTGGTTCCTGTCATGTAAACGCCAATTGTACCACAGCTGGACCTGAACAAGTGGAGTGAGTCCCGTCTTTCCCCAGTCCTTCTTAACATTTTAACAGTGTCGCCTGGTTATAACTCGGGTTTCACGTGTCTTCCTGCTTCAGGTGCACCTGCCTGCAGGGCTACGTCGGGAACGGTAAAGTGTGCTATGGGAACATCATGGAGCGTCTGAATGAGCTGAACACAGAGCCCGGGGGACAGTGGACTGGTCAGCTGAGCAACGCCATCTCTCTCTTCGGTATGATGTCACCGCTTGGTCTGGACCAAGACTAATGGTCACACACTCTGTATCTCATTTTTATAACTCATTTTATGGATCAAACCCAAATAATCAACAATGTTTTTCCTTAGATTAAATTAGCATTTCTCTACTACTGCCTTTAGGGGGTGCAATAACCTTATCATACCTATTCCACAATTGGTCACATAGAGCTGTAGTAACGGAATTCAGACATAAGAGGTATATTTGAACTCCATTAGGTTTTATGGGTGTGTGACTTACTCTCAGTTTGAGCGTCTGCTGAAACATATTATAAATATAATATTATTTTCATCTTATATGTGCACATATGGTTTTAATGGATCGAGCCTTTGGCTAATCTGGTTGCACACATCTAATCTGTTTGTGGGATTAACCTTATTGTCTATGATCCTATCAATCAAACCAAATCAATTTAACCAATGTAATCTAAACAAAGAAATATAACGAGTGGTTCTGAACATCTTACAGGTTCGGTGTCATGGCCCCTGCGGGATCTGGGCCCTTTAACTGTGTTTGCCCCGATCAATAAAGGCTTTAAAAAACAAACCTCAGTAAGTCAAGAAAACCCCTGATCAAGGAAGACTCTCAAACCTCCGCAGGTCTCTTATCTGTCTCTGTGTCGCTCACAGATACAAACTCTGACCTCAGACGCCTCCAAAGCAAAGTACCTTTGCAAACTACATCTGGTTGCCGGAGTGATGCCGTTTGAGGTTTTAAAGAAAACTGATGTCTTTTACACCTTGACGGGAAAAACAGCTGAGACCGACGCCGCAGTTGGGGTGAGAGGTCACGGCAGTCTCTGTACCAAACAGGGCTGTCATACACTTTTGATCTAGAGAATGACCAGAAGTAAACACAAATGTCCTTTTTTATTCATTATTAACTATTATTTATTTTTCTTTTTTTTTTTAAATTGATCAAATTATTTTTTTCCATCCAGGGCTCTTCTGCTGTGATCCGCATCCATGGCAGCAAGAAAAAAGGTACGATTGTCCAGTCCAACATTGTGGCATCTAATGGGATGATCCATTTGATCAATAATGTGATGGACAGCGTGGTAGCTACAGTGGACAGTGATCCAAAGGTGAGATTCAATTCAAGTCTTTTTTTTTTAAATAGCCCAAATTCACGTTACGCATATGCCTTGGTGGAATTTACAAGTGGAATTTGAAGTATATGAGTATTTGCCCCAATATTCAGGTAACAAGGAAACAATGAAGAAATGTTGGTTTAGTCAAAACAAAAATTAAATTATATTAGCATCATCTTCTTGAATGCAATAGGAGGATAGGGAGAGAGAGAGAGAGAGGGAGCACCAACTATTATATATAACAAGGTGAAACACAGGGTTAATGATAAGGTTATGATTGACAGTTATTAATGCTCACATGTCTGTAGAGTGCTCAGTGCACCATTGGAGTTACCCCCGCGGTCTAAGCCTGTGGAAGCGTAACTAAAGCCTATAGAAGCAAAATGCGCATATTGCGTGATCGATGCAGCTCACTGCTGGGCAACGTTTTGTGTGCGTGATCGATGCAGCTCACTGCTGGGTAAATTTTTGTGGTGTGATATATATATATTTCTATACCATCGCCATCTACTGGAGAATCGTTTTCTTTCTCCAGGAAAACCTGATGAAGATCATCTCTGACTACGGGAAGTTTAACACATTCAGGTCTCTGCTGGGGGTGAGAAGTCTTTGTCACATGACACGTGGAACATTGATTGTGCTTTAAAGGCCAAGGACCCCAGAGATTCCTCGTGATACATTCAGTGTCTCCACAGGCAACTGACCTGACGTCTGTCATGGATCTCCCTGGTCCGATGACCGTCTTCATTCCCACCAGCTCAGCTTTTGACGCTATGACAGAGGGATATATGGACTACCTCACCAGTGAGAAGGTGATACATCAACCACAAAGACACCACTCCATATACTGCTGTGTCTTAACCCGTCATCGCCCTTTAAATGTTCACAACAGGGTCGCAACAAACTGGTGGAGCTCCTGAGGAACCACATTGTCACATCTACATCTGTAAGAACCATTTTTGCTGGAATCTCACCTCAGCGTGATACCTTGTGGTAAAAACCTTTTGTTTTGGCTTATTATTCAAAGCTGGACATATTTAATGCCATATCCAGTCCCAGGATTGTGACGACAGCCAATCAGGTTCTGACAATTAATGTGACAGACAATGTAAGTGAATCTGAGTCAATCATAATGAATTACTAGCATTAGCATTAGCAGCTACCCGTCTGCTTTAAGAACATCTGGACTGCTGAATTCTTTCATGCTTTCCTTTAGGGCCAGGTTTTGGTAAACGGCGCTGCGGTGTTGGAGGCCGCGGTAGAGGCCAAAAATGGACGTTTATACGTGCTGGATGGAGTCTTGATTCCATCCTCCATAGAACCTGTGCTGCCCCACAGGTGTGACATCATCAACAACATCACCGTCATGGTAAGGCCAATATATGAATATGCAAAGCTATAGTAGAATATCGATACGGTATCGTGAAATGAAATATTGCCATATTTCAGCGTATTGATATTTTTTTTTACATCCCTATTAGTTACGTTTAGGTTAGGGTATTATTCTGGTCATTTGACATTAGCATAGTACATTATTTTGTTGTGAGTGTTAGCATACTATTCTAGTTATTTAGCGTTAGCACGGATCGTTATTTTGACTTGGGGAATGTTAGCATAGCTTATTATTGGACACATTTAGCCTCAGCATGGTATATTATTTTTGTGTAGGAGTTTTAGGACACTGTCATTTGTAATCAGGTCACATGAGCACATTAGTGGCGAACGCCAAGCTATGTAATTCTAAAATGTATCCTCTAGGTAAAATTTAAAGATGTTTATGTGTGTTTCTCTTGTGTCTTCAGGGTGAATGTGTGGACTGCTTCAAAATCAAAATGTCTAAGTGTTCTTCTGGAATAAGTACGGTACAACACTTTTAATTTGCTACTTGTCAATGTCTCGCTGTGTTGTTGTTTGAAAACATTTTGATTTTTCTTTGAGGGTCATTGTTGTCTCCAACTGCTGCATTCAGGGCATCTACCACCAACGATGCTTTTACCAGTCTGTCGAATTCAGAATTCCAAGGGAGGGCTGCGCACTTCTCTGCAAAGCCACAGTGACGGTATAACAGCATTAGCTTTGATCGTGACAATGTCGGTGTGCTAATGTTTTCATATTCGCTCTGGCTTTTTTGATTTTTGATCTGCATGTGTTCAGACTGCAGCCTGCTGTCAAGGTTTCTATGGAGAAGGCTGCAGTCCATGTCCAGGTGGACACCAGACACCGTGCTCAGGTCACGGCCAGGTCAGATATACTGTGTGTTACACAAATATGTCAAGGTTTTTTTTTTGGTCCTTAAAAATCAGGACAAGCTATTTTTGGTGACATCACTAATCTTTCTGTAAGACTTAGTCCTAGCTGTATTTATTATGATTAATGGCTTGAAGCTATCTTGAACTTTAAGTTTAAAGATTTTTTAAATTTGTCTTCCTGTTGTGGTCGTTTTAAAAGCAAAAACACACTGTAAGCTAATCGTAGGTGTTGTGTATGTGTGCTCCCGAACCTTAGCTCTACAAAATTCTAGACAGTTTTTGTCTAGTCATGTGTGTTTTTTGCACATCTTTAAACAGTGTTCAGACGGACTGACAGGAAACGGGACATGTATCTGCAATCCCAACTTCAGTGGCTCTCGCTGTCAGTACTGCTCCTCCACTAACAAATATGGACCCAACTGTGACAAAAGTGAGTGTGTGCCATTCTTCTGTGACGTCACAGAGGTGTTTGAATGACTTCAGAATTAAATGCTCTCCGTCGTGTCCCCGCAGCCTGTCTCTGCATCCACGGAGTTTGTGACAACCGTCCAGATTCAAAAGGTCAATGTAAACGGGACACGTGTCTCACGGGCTTCACTGGTCCACTCTGTGAACAACAGACGGCAGTGTGTGGCCAGCAGGCTAAGTTCTGTCACGCTCACGCCGACTGCGTTTTCAGCCAGAGGACGACACAGTAAGTCAGTACATTCAGGGCACCGGCAAGATGATCTGAAGAGGCACCGGAGAGTGAATGTATGCCTCGTTATTTTAGGTGTGTTTGTAAACCTGGTTACCAAGGCGACGGTATCACCTGTGTGGAGTCCGACCCCTGTGCCCCACCCCTTCGTGGTGGCTGTAGTGTCAATGTAGGTCACTTATTAACAACCATAGCTCAAACAATACACGCTGTCATATTTGACTCTATGCTGGTTGCTGCCCCCCGCAGGCTAAATGTATGAAGACAGGACCAAATAAACACGTCTGCCAGTGTCTGACAGGATGGCGGGAAGATGGAGACGACTGTCAACCAATTAACAATTGCAACGACCCGGACAGAGGAGGCTGCCATTCTAATGCTACGTGTATCTACGTTGGACCAGGACAGGTCTGGTTTCATACTAGAGGGAGCACGATAACATACAACCCAACGGTTTTGTGTTGGTGTTGGTTTCTGAGTTCTCCACTCTGGTTGTCTCTCCCAGAGCGACTGCAGCTGTAAAGCCGGGTACAAAGGAAACGGACAAGAGTGCGAGGCCGTGAACCAGTGTGTGACCACCAGTGGAGGCTGCCATTATTTGGTAAGGATGACAACAACCTCTATGAGCCTGAGCAGCCTGAGCGACGTTTGTGAAGTCATGTGACGGTGTTGCTTCTTCAGGCCACCTGCCACCTGCTGTTGTCTGAGTGGACGTGTGTCTGCGACGACGGGTATGTTGGGAATGGACAAATATGTTACGGTACAGTGGGTCAGGTGAGTGACAGAAGTCTGTGTCATCAACACTGTGGTGATTAACGCCACGAAGCATTATTATGTTGTTTGTGTTTTAGGAACTGATGTCCTTGATTGACACCTCTGAGTTTTTAAAATGGACCACAGTGAGTATCCCAGCAGTGATCAGACCCTGGCCCTAGTTCTTGTCAGACCAGCATCAAACTCTGGTGGTTTGGATGTTGTCCTTCTTGGTTGTGCTAATTGTTAACGTTGTCCCATTGACTGTGTCTCGCCGTCTGTCAGGACTCTGGTGTCTCTCTGTCAGATCAAAACATCACCCTCCTGGTTCCAACTTCAGATGCCGTGGGAAAAATGTCTTCTGAGGACAAAGCCTTCTGGACCATGAGCGGAAACCTGCCAAGTCTGATCAGGTCCACCACCACACCACCACCATAACTCTTCATACATCAGTAAACACACTCTAAATAGTCAAACTTCACCTTTTTCTGACAGAAACCACATGATTGTCGGAACCTTCCCATCATACAACCTCAGCAGCATTTCCTCTGTCACGTCACTTCTCACTACAGCACTTCCTGTTTCAACAACCAATGAGGCAGGTCCAGAGAGTCTCCACCTACAGAACTATAAATACCTGCTTTCCTTTACTCTATGTTTGACTCCCTTTTTGACCTCCCAGATTATCACTGTTGGTGGCGCTATCATCACAACAACTGACATTGCTGCAACAAATGGCTTGATCCATGTCATTGATAAGGTACACAGCTCAAAAGTATTGACGATGATGATAATGCTTGCTAACTATCTTTCCTTTGCTTATTGTGCTAATAATACTAGCTAGGCTAACATTACATATGCCAACAATGTGCAATAGTGAGTAGTGAGTAAAAGATTAATAATGGAAAAAATGCTAATAATTCTGATCTAGCTGACAAGGCTAACAATGCTAACTATGTTTACAGTGATGTTAAAGGCAACTCTAGTTCCCCCATTCCAGACGACCCCTCGAGGGGTTGTGACCTCAAGGTTGAAAAACACCTGTTGTTAATGAGTTAATGTGTGAATCATGTTGGTGGTTTTGTGGCTAATGCTCCAGATACTTACAATGAAAAATATATCTACGATGACAGCTTTGAAGCTTAATAATCTTTGAAATTAATTAATATGATACTTCTAGTATTAAAAAAATATTAATCATACAGACAATGTTTACAATGCTTTTTAAGCTAACCATGACAGTAATGCTAAATCGGTTATGCTAATGGTTGTATTAACATGGCTTAAAGAAAATGGTTACAGTGGTGATATTGTTAATGCCAAAGATGCCATTAATGTTTACCATGTCATGTATGCTAACGGTGCTAATTGTCCTGTTGATGTTGATGCCATTCCATCCACAGGTCTTGGTTCCTGACAGGAAACTGAGTGAAGGGCTCCTGACGACGCTTGCACAGAGACCTGAGTTCTCTCTTTTCAGATCATATCTCATTGTATGAACACACAAATACACCTCAGATCATATCTCATTGTATGAACACACCAAATACAACATGTGCTGGTGTAAAAACACACCCTTCTCACACTGTTTTTTTTTTCTTTCTTAGAATTACAACCTGACAGATGTGATTGAACAGGCCAATGAATTCACCATCTTTGCTCCAACAGATGGGGCCATTAATGAGTACCTCAAAAAAATGTCTATAACTGCACTGGTATGAAATGCTACGACCCCAACATGACCCGCAAATTAGCCTAGGAGCTGTAACAGGAGTTCACAGGAATGGTTTTGCTTTAACAGGATATGAATACGACCCGTTTCCACGTGGTCATAGATGAGCGCTTGTTGAAGACAGACCTACAGTCTGGTAGCTACAAGGAGACACTGCTTGGATTCTCCTATCAGGTTGGAATCTTCCCCAGAGATGGAAAGGTGGGAAAACGTCATCGGTGGCATGGTGACGCTCAGGTCTGTTTTCAAGACTCGTCTAGTTTCATTTTTATAATTTTTTTTTTTCTGTTTCCCCCTCTTTGCAGATCTTTGTAAACGATGCTCAGATAAACTCCTCCAACCTCCTGGCTGGAAAAGGTGTCATTCACGGTCTGTCATCGGTTCTTCCGCTCATCAATGTGACAAAGCAACATACACAAAAGTTCAGGTAGAATCCCAGACGACCGTCAAAAAGAAAGAAAAAGACGGACTCAACTGTTTGTCAAACATGTCCCCTCTTTTTGTGTGATTTCGCAGGGATCCTGTGTTGAATGTCTTTTCTCAAAAACTGAATTCTGCCCCAAAGACACCCAGCCAGTTGTAAGACGTGGTAATTCCTTCATGTTTCTTCAGCTCAATGGTTTTTGTTCTCACACTGTGGAACTTTTGCTCCACAGAAAAACGCCAGGACGAGGAAATGCATGTTGACTCGAGTGTATGAAGGTGAAAGCCTTATGTCCCTTGGCTGCAGGGCCACCTGTCTCAAAACAACGATTGTACGTTACCTCTCCTGTGAGACCATATGACATGAGGTTGATGATCCAGCTGATGCCAAGCCTCGGTCTGTGTCCTCAGGAACGCCAGTGTTGCAGCGGGTTTTTCGGAGCGCACTGTGAGCCATGTCCCGGGCCGAAAGGTGAGCCCTGCTTCAATAAAGGAGTGTGTTTGGACGGGACAAACGGCACTGGTGTGTGTCAGTGTAACCAAGGCTTCAACGGGACGGCGTGTGAGACATGTCAGACGGGCAAATATGGTGTCCACTGTGATCAGGGTAAGTACACCTGCAAGGGAAAAATGACTTTGGCCACTTTTTGATTTATGTGGATGGATGGATGGATGATTTGATATATGGACGGACGGATGGATGGATGAATGGGTGGATGGATGGATGGATGGATGAATGGATGGATGGATGGATGGATGGATGGGTGGATGGATGGATGGATGGATGGATATAAAAGGACCAAGTTGGTGAGGTGTTAGGTGTAGCGTCAGTAGTGAGATGAAGAGAAAAGTGGGTGATGGAATCGAGATATATTGTGAAAGTATTTTCAGGAAGAAAGTGGAGAATTATATAGACGTAAAATTGATGAGTCATACATTCCAGAGTTGTAGAAGTAAGGCTCAGGCTCAGAGAGGGGTTTAAGTTTTTGCTCTGTGAGTGCTGGTAGAAAAGTTCACAGACGGTCAGAAGGAGTCGCACTGTGTTTTAGTGAATTTTAAGAAATCATGTGATGCCATGGTACAAACTGTGGTACTGTATGTCCTCCCCTTTGCGTCCTCCAGATTGCAAATGCAAGAGTGGACGCTGTAAGGATGGTCTGACAGGTGACGGGACATGTGAGTGTGACGTCGGCTGGAGGGGAATCCTCTGTGACGAAAGTAAGGAGCTCATAAGAAGCAAATTGATTTATGATGATGTCTGTGTGGGTTCTCAGTCATCCAGGTCATCTCATCCCAAAAAATAGTTCCATCCAGGTTACATCGAGGGCAACTGAAGTTCCGAAAAAATCCAGAAAGATTAGGCATAGCAGTACCAAGCGTTTACGTATGTTCTGTATGCTGACGACTGCTGTCTTCTACAGAGCTCGTGTCTTCGGCTGATGAACTTTGCGGCTCATTTAAATGCCACACCAGTGCAAAGTGAGTAAAAACAGACCATGAGTGTGCCCCCTGCTGGATCCTCTAATAACTGTATTGTGTTGTTGTACTTCACAGCTGTGTTATCGGACCGTTGGGCTCTCAGTGTATCTGTGCTGCGGGCTTCGATGGGAACGGAACATTCTGTCAAGGCAAAACACAGCATTTCTAAGAACTCTGTCTCAGATTTACGACGTCTTTGTGACTTCTTGTTTTTCCGTTTGCAGCAAGAGATGCCTGCGCAACTAACAACGGCGGCTGCAGTCCTGACGCTGTCTGTAAGAGGACGCAGCCTGGACGACGAGACTGCATCTGTAACAGCGGCTTCACCGGCGATGGACTCGTCTGTGTCGGTAAGTTTCCTCCCCCATCCATGAAGAAAATAAGCTGCGACTTTGATTATGAGTGCTTCATGCTTCCAGTCTGTCTTCCACAGAGATCAACCCATGTCTGCACGGAAACGGAGGTTGTCACGAGAACGCCGAATGCATCCATGTTGGACCCAACAAGGTCAGATCCATTAGGCTATCAGCTGATCTTCACCGATTCTTGATAAGTGATCACTGAATCCATGTCTTGTCCCCGTTCAGACCTCCTGTGTGTGCAGTACTGGGTACACAGGAAATGGACTGAAGTGTGAAAAGGTCAACCCCTGCAACAAGGTGAGTTAGATCTGGGTCCTTGAAGGCAGCACAACAACTGCACTTAGGCAGAAACACTGTAGTTCATTCAGTGGTGACCCGAGGGGCGATCATGGACTCGTGTTAACATTAACAACATGTTAATTGCATGTTCATCTTATTGAGTAGTTATTAGCCACAGGTTAGCCAATAAAACAACACCAAATTCATTTGTTTCATATAATGAATACGTCAGGTGATTTTAATGATTTTATTTTTTTTTATTATTAAATAACAATGAAATTTAAACAGTTTTCTATAAAATAATGCAATTAATGTTCAGGAGAAATACAAAGTCGCAAAAGTTTTTCACTAGACATCGGCATCAAAATGACCTCATCAGATATTCACTCAATCATCAGGGAGGGCATTAAAGGCCCTCCCTGATGATTTCTTTTTCAATGCTTTTACAGAATTATTTTTGAGGTTATAGGTCATGTGATTTCTTAACCACTGTGCAGGGCCATGTTATTGTGTGGCGACTGATCATCATGTATACTCTGGAAAATTATCCAATTTCACCGAATAGGTCTGAAAAATCATTTATTTACAGGACATTTAAATACTTTAAATTCTTCCACTAGGTGGCAGCAAATGGCTATAAAACGTAAACTTTGTGATTGACCCCTGGGATTAAGGTTAAATCCACTGTTCATGTACCTTATTTATTTGGTTTTTTTTAGTTCTTCAGTTTTAAATATTTTTTTTTTTTAAATGTGCAGTATTTTATTTCAACTCTATGTTCAGTGTACTTTATAAAAACAGCACAGGTAACCCTTTATATATATGTGAGGTAACAGTAAGTACTGCAACAACATAATATCACTCCCTATTGGTGGTTAATTTAATTCAGTGTCACCGATGCCATTGTGGAATCAATGTCCGGTGATTTATTCCAGAAAAATGGCGGCTGTCATTCCAACGCACGCTGCACCGTGACTGATCCAGGGGAACGGAACTGCAGCTGTAAGCCCGGCTACCTGGGAGACGGAATCACCTGCAAAGGCGCCGTGGGGAGGGTTAGTGTCTGAACACAACGTCCACAGTTTGTTTCTTTCTCTGTGTTCCAACTTCTTCCACTGTAAAGTCTTCATCTCCACAGGAAATCCTGACACGAAAGCTGAGAGACTTCTACGTCAAACTCATGGTGAGGGAAAGTCTAATCCTGCGTCACCTCCTCGTACTCAAACGTTAACTACAAAATGGGAAACTTCTGTTTGTTTTTAGGCAGCGGATATTACTCTGAATGGTCGCGGCCCATTCACTGTTTTTGCCCCGAACACCGAAGCCTTTGAAGAAGACAGAAAAGGTCTAAAAGTGAGAAAATACACAATGTAAAGCACACAATGAAGTAACAATATTCCAAAGGTCTGCAAGAGCGCATGTCTCTTTTACTTTCCAGATCATGGAGAAAAGGTCGGTTATAAAATTTCACGAAAACTTTGTAAACATCCTGCGCAGCCACATCGTCCTGTGTCACATTCTACTTGATGTCGACCTCACTCGACCCCGCAACATGACATCACTGTCCGGGGAGGTCTTGACTACAAGTTTCACCCAGGTAACTCAAACCCCCTGACCAACAACGCCCGACCTCTCACCTCTAGATTCACAAAGGCAATAGTCCACCGTTCTTCTGAAGTATTCAATAGGAATGGCTCGATATTTGGGCATAGCTATCGGATCGATAGTTTGCACCTGAAATTTGGAAGCAATGTCAGATATTCTGGAACATATTTGTCCTCGTTGATTGTTGACAGCAATAAAAAGAAATGTTCATGACGTCTATGTTTAAACGCAAGGTATATTTAGAACAAAAAGCATTTCAGAATAATTTGGAATTATGGACCATACGAAGTATTTGTCAGGAGTACAAGGTCGCAGAATGTATAACGTGCATGGAGGGTCGTTAAATTCCTCCACCAGCAGGTGGCAGTATTTGCATGGCAGTTATTTTGCATTAAATAAACGTTACCGTTTCAGGGCAGCATCTTTGTCAACGGAGCGAACGTCACCTACAGCGACAGTGTTAGCATGAACGGGGTTTTCCACGAGATCGACAAGATCCTGATTCCACCCAGATATAGCAAAGAAGTAAATTCAGAGAAGGTGAGTTCATGATTAAAATAAGTTTCAGTGACTCACAACCACTCAGTGACTGCACTCTGTTTTAACTGTTCTGCTCTTAACTGTCGTCACACAGCTGAACCTGACAGATGTGGCTGATAGACACGGGTATAAAACCTTCTACAAGCTGCTGCAGGTGAGGCTCCGCCCACTTTTGTGCCGTTACTGCCGGGCAACGTGGGCTGACATTCACACTCGTCACGTGTTTTCAGGACACAGGTGTAACAGAAATGATTAACAACAAGCTGAACCAACCCGTAACAATCTTCCTACCATCTGATGCTGCCATGGCAGCGCTGCCGCAGCAGCAGAAGGACTACCTGTACCACCCAAGTCACCGCTCAGACCTGACCGAGTACCTGAAGTACCACGTCATACAGAGTCAAAAGGTGAGAGACTTCATTTGAGCAGGGCAACGAATGTTCTATACTACCACCAGAGGGAGTTCTAACTCACCCCTAAGCCGCTCCCTCTTCTCCTCAGATCTATGCTGAAGCTCTGGTCCACCTGGACTCAGCGCGGACGCTGCAGGGTTCTACGCTGTCCTTCAGCTGTGGTGGCATAGACAACATCGTAAGTACGACGGAGACAGATCGAGCAAAGTGTCTGCTCTGATGAGTCCCACCAATCGTTCATCTTTGTCTGAAATCAGGGAGAAATCTTCGTTAACGACGCAAAGTGTCGGATCATTCAGAGACACCTCGTCTTTAACGGCGGAATCGCCTACGGCATCGACTGCCTGCTGACCGCACCCAGCCTTGGCGGACGATGCGATGAGCAGTCAACCTTTGATCTTCGGGTAAAACCTTGATCACTGCAGTGCCCCCCTGTGGATGCCATACTTTTTTTTTTCTTATTGAAGCTGGTTCTTTCTCTGCTGTAGATGAGCTGTGGACCGTGCAGGTCTCCGGCTTCCAGGTGTCCTCCAAGCGCCACACTAAAGGTGCGATCATCTCGCCGTAATACTTGTCTTCCTGTGTCTCTTCATGTTCACTCACGTGCCGCTCTCTCCTCTGGTCTCCTCCTGTGTCCAGGAGGTTGAGAAATGTGACCTTCCCACCTTGTTTGTGGCCAAGAACACCGGCTGTCTCAGCGTCTGCACCTACAACTTCTGGAAGCCCAAGTGTTGCCGTGGTTTTTATGGGCGGGACTGCCTTGGTGAGAGGACCGTGGCAGCCTCACGTTAAACTTAAGGCGTCAAGAACACTCCACTCAATTCATACACGTTTTTCTGTCTGTCTCCAGTGTGTCCAGGTGGCTCTGCCTACCCCTGCAGCAACCATGGTAAATGTGATGATGGTCACCTTGGTAACGGCACCTGTATTTGTGACAGTAGGTTCAGTGGCGCTGCCTGTGATCAGTGCGTTCCGGGCCATTTTGGACCCGACTGTAAAGGTACAGTAAACAACAAACCCTGTGTGACTTTCTTCAAACATTACCACCAGGGGTCTCAAACTCCCGGTCTGCGGGCCAAAATTGGCCTTCAGGCAGTCTGCAACTAAATGTCAGTATGATGTAATCTGAGCCTCTGCTGTTGGTTTTTGTCCCTTTAACATGGTAGGAGCAACAGTGACCTCCAGCCCATTGGAGTTTGAGACCCCAGTGTCTGACTGACTGTCTGACTGACTGTGTGTGACTGACTGACTGTTTGTGTCTGTGTCTCAGTCTGTAACTGCTCAGAAAACGGATCATGTGATGACGGACGCAGAGGGACAGGGGAGTGTTTCTGTGAGGCCGGATGGACGGGCAAGCGGTGTGAGATCCAGCTGGGTAAGTCAGTGATGACATCACTGACCACGGTAACACACCCAGCCTTCAGTGTTTGACTTCATTTATGATTTAAAGTGTATTTTTGCAGCCACATCAGATGATGGAAGGTGTTGTAGAATTTTAGAAAAGATCATTTCAGTTAGGAGACATCCAAAACATAACTGTAACTGTAGTAAAATAATATTAAAGATTAATTTATTAATTAATTCAACTAATTAATTAATTAATTTCCCCTCATGTCTCCCTGTGTTCTCCAGCGGATTTCCCTCAGTGTTCTCCGTCGTGTTCTCCAAAAGGCATCTGTAAAGAAAACAACACCTGCGTCTGTCGGCCATTTTATGAAGGAGATGGTTTTACCTGTAAAGGTAAATATTGTGTGAGGATGACGTCATCCTCACACATTCTCTGATGACAACATATCTGTATTTGCATTTCTCCTTCATGAACTGTGTCTTTGTCCCCAGTGGTGAAATTTGTCTCTTTGTCTCTGTCCGAGTGGTGGACCTCTTTTTATGTCTCTGTCATGTCTTTTAGACATTTGGCTCAATGTATCTGCCCCTAGTGGTGGACAAACGGTACGTGTCTATCATTTTCTTCTCTACTGATGGGAATTTGTCGTCTCTCTGTCTCTCTGCCCCCAGTGGCCGATATGTGCCAGTTTTGGAACGGCGGTTGTGCCAAAGTAGCACGCTGCTCCCAGAAGGGTGAAAAAGTGGTGTGCACATGTCCTCGAGGATACTCAGGGGACGGATTCACATGTCTCCCCATTGACCCCTGCACTTCTGGAGTTAATGGTGGCTGTCATGAACATGCAACCTGTACCATGGTGGCGCCGGTGAGAATGACCCAGAAAACACTGTGATGGGTTGGTACTTTGAGTTCTCACCTGTCCAAAACTAACAAAAAAATGTGACATGTCTGTGTGGACAGGGAAAGAAAAGGTGCTCGTGTAAAGACAGCTACATTGGTGACGGTGTGACGTGTGAAGTCAAACAGCTGCCAGTCAGTCGTTGTCTCCAGGACAATGGAAAATGTCACCTGAACGCTAAATGTACAGATCTGCACTTTGAAGGTAAAGTTTGTAAATGTGAGCAAATAATGACCCTCAGTTTTTTTTAGGATAGTTATTAATGATTTTAGGTTTATAGCGTTATTAGTAACAACTAGAATTTCTGTTATTTTAATATATATATACAGTATAACAGTAAGTAATCTTACTGTTAGCATCATTAAATGCTAGCGGTCATAACCACACTAGCATCTTAACGTTCTTTGAATCTTAGCATATTCAGCTCATTCATCATGAATGAATGTTTTTATTTCCACATTTCCACCATTAGCTCCGTAGCACCGTATTTTCTTTGTTAATTGTTAATTTTTTTTGTAGACAAAAAGTTGGGCGTGTTCCACATGCGTTCAGATAATGGTACGTACAAACTGACCTTTGACGCAGCTCAGCGTATCTGCACATCAGAGGGAGCCACGCTGGCGACGTACCAACAGTTGTCCTACGCTCAGCAGGTCCGTGAATGCACCATCGCTGTCACGCTTCTTCTAGTGTCGCCGTGTGTTTAACTCTGCCGCCCTCTACAGGGAGGATTCAACATGTGCAGTGCTGGCTGGTTAGACAAGGCACGTGTGGCGTATCCAACCACCTACTCCAACCCAAACTGTGGTTTTGGACACATCGGTATTGTGGACTATGGCACACGCGCCAACCTGACTGAGACATGGGACGCATTCTGCTACAGAATGAAGGGTGAGCAGAAAGATGAAGAAGAATCGAAATAGAAGAAATTAAGATAGATTAAGGAAAGGATTAGTTAGCCAAAATATATTGCTAGCCCTCAGGCATTTATTACAATTTTACTGCAGTAAAATCAAATGGATAGTTAAGTTATTTTAAAGATTCAACAAAACAGTTAGCCAAATGGTAGCTAAAATCAGCCTAAAGGAAGCAATAACCTAATAAAAAAAACCAATAGCAAAAAAAATCAGAAAAAAGAGGCACAGTGGTAGGATTCCTGTCTGTCCAGGTGTGAGTCCACCTGGGCTCCGATTCAACCCCTAGTGGCGAGGTGTGAGTCCACCTGGGCTCCGATTCCACCGCGGGTGGCTTGGTATGAAATTACATCTGGTGAAAAACTGTTCAGGATCGGAGGTGTTTCTAAACCATAACGACATCTGTGTTCAGAGGTGAAGTGTGAGTGTCAGCGCGGTTACATTGGGAACGGGATTCAGTGCACAGGAAACCTTCTGCAGGTTCTCAAGTCAACTCCCACCTTCTCCAACTTCCTTACCGTGAGTTCACATGTCCACATGAGCTCCTTAGATGTCAATGAACTTTGACCTGAATCTGTTATTTCATGTAATTCTTTTTTTTTTTTTTAGCAAATTCTGAACTACTCTCAGGTCTCAGACGCGGGGAAACAGTTCCTGAAGCGTCTCAGCAACATAACGGTCCAGTCTACGCTCTTCGTACCCCACAACGATGGTCTCCTTAGCAATGAGGTGAAACAGGCTTCTTGTCACGTGACATATGACATTATCTGACTTAACCATAGTTCAAAGGTCAGAAATTAGGTGAAATTGTTTTTTATTCTTTGTTAAAATTCTCTATATTTTGAATGTTTCCATCAATTTTAAAGTTGAAATTTGCAATGGTAAAACATTCGGCAAAGCTTTGCACTGACTGAACTGATGGAATGATGGTTTAAACCATTAAAGTCAGACAATCAAACTGGTCTAAAATCAATCGAAGAACTGGTTCTTAAACTGACGTAATGTCTGATTACTGATGTATTAATTCTATTAGGATTATCAGAAGAATCCTTAGTATTTTGAAGTTTTAATATTTGATAAAATAGCTGCCCATGAAAAAGTTTCTTCAGTTTTGATCTTGTTCTTTCATGTTTCACTTCAGACTCTGTCTCAGCGGGATATCGAGTACCACCTCTCAGCAGGTGAGGCTCTGTTTTTGAACGAGCTAAGGAACGGCAGCCGCATACGAACCAAAGTTGGGAGCCTGCGTGTCATCGGTGTCTCAGACCTGCTAAATCCAGCCGCTCTGGTCCGTTATTGCAGCATATGAACAGCAGAGGGCACTGAATCATGTTGACCTTGTAGTTGATGTCTATTGTTGTCTTGTAATTTTTTGTCTTTGTAGTCGTCTCGTTACATCAATGACCGTTTTGTCACCACCTCCGACATCATTGCCTCCAACGGAATCATACACGTCCTGCAGGGACCTCTGACGGCTCCGCCTCCTCGTCAGCAGGTGAGTGATGTCATGACTAACGCGGCGTCAGTCGTCCTGTATATTGATCTGACACCTGATTTGGTGATTGGCTCTGCAGATGCATGCGGCTCACAAGGCTGGGATGGGAATTGGTGTTATGCTGCTGGTGGTTATGACGACAGCCGCCATGTTTGTAGGCCATAAGTTCTACAAACAGACCAGTAGGGGGCTTCACTTCCACTATTTCAAGGTTTGTGTCTGTATTGGGGTAATCATCTTTATTACAATCAGCTTTTAGATTTTTAATGATATTTGTGAACAAGATTTTCATGTTTGTGGAGTTAATCATAATTTTTACTATTCCATTTTAAATGCATTAGGAATTTTACTTTTACTGAAACATTGGAAGCTAGTAATTGACCAAGTCTCACTTTGATTAGGATGAGGAAGAGGAAGCTCAAGCAGAAGCCCCGCCCTCCAACATTGGTCGTAGCATTACTAATCCAGTTTACGACTCAACTGCTGAGAGGACCACAAGTGATGTCACAGTGAGTCAGCGCTGAAGGTTTGAAAATTACACTGTGTTCTTCATGGTTCACCTTTGATGACTTGAGATGTCTTTATCCACAGGAGGAAAAACAGGAAGTAGCGGGCGGAACATCGTACGATTTGCTGCAGGACATTTGAGATAGTAATTAACCAGGCATTTGGGAAATCTTTGCTCTGATTGGTTGACAAGTTAGGAAAAAAAAAAATCAGTGAATGATAGAATTTTTGATTATTTTTGTTCTGACTGAAATGTATTAAAAACAAATGTAAAGCAATTGAGACGTGATTGGACAAAAGCTTTAATAGTCTTCAATGACATCACTGATCCAGGCATGGTAATCTGATGTCCCTGTGAAGACTGATGGTTTGTCCGCATCACAGCGCCTGCTGCCCCACGTGATCATGCCAAACAGGAAGTAGGCGTTGCGTTTGCGACAGTACAGAGGAGCTCCGGAGTCGCCCTGCAGACAATGACAAGAAATCGATACAAATGTAGCTCCGCCCACTACGAGTTGGAAACCAGAACTGAAATATAGTGTTTTTACCAGGCAGGAGGCGGAGCCCGCAGGGTGAGCACATATGTGGGAGTCGGTGATGAGCCCACCCCCCCATTTGTCCTCACAGGTTGTCCTGTTCATTAGAGACAGTCCAACATGGTGGAGACGTGACTCTGTGTTTCCTGAAGAGACAAAGAGACAATCCAACGACTGAAGACTTTCTGGATCAAGGACGATCAATGATGGGAGACAAAAGAAAATAACAACATGACTCTGAAGACAACTTTGAGGACACCTTTTGTCTTTGTCGTGTCCCAGCCCGCTGTAAAGCAGTGCCAGCTGTCATTTAGCTCCTCGTCCTCCTCGGGAAGACATACTGGAGACACATTTGTGTCTGTGGAAGACAAAAGAACATGGGGACGTATTGATGTCTTCAGTTGTTGGTGTAAGTGTCACCGTCTTTGTTGGTACCTAATCGCACTGGGACGCTGAGGTGTAGCAGAGACAGGTCAGGTTTAGGCGGGAACCCAGTCTCTAGTGGCAGGTTGATGACGTCGTCCACAGGGACAGTCTGCGTCGATAAGAACTGAAGGTCATGAATTCCAAGAACTGCCACGTCCTCTTTGCTAATCTCCACAGACGTGGTTGCCAGGTGATATACCTCCAACAGTGTGAGGTTTCCCCACTGACAGACTCAGAGAATGGTTGAAGACTCTTTGTTGTGGAGAGAAAAGTGCTTTTGTACAGTATGTCAATCAGAGACACACGGCGATGGTCTTCACTTTTTACTGAGGCAGAGGTGTGTGTGTGTGTGTGGGGGGGGGGGGGGGGGGGGGGGGGGAGAGGGTCATGTTTGTAGACGGTGGTAACAGACACAAATGTCTCGGTGTTGGGGTCTTACTTGACGTTGCAGTGTTTGGCAGTGAGGACCCAGTGCTGGTGGACGAGTACGCCGCTGCAGAAGTGGCGTCCGTTGGACTGGAGACTGACCTGCCATGGCCAGAAGAAGGGACATGACTCTGTGACGTTGTTCATGATGACCTGGCCTCCACTTGTCACGGAGAGAGAGGCGAGGCCCGGAGGCGAACAGCCGGGGCTCTGCTGACGACCGCACGTCTCCTCTGGTGATGTCACAGGAAACGTCTGTTAACAACCACGTGGGGCTAAAATGCTTGAACTTAGTGAAGTGGACGCTAACCTTCAGACTCCTCATCAAACATGAGGTTATCTGGAAATGACAAACAGTAAAGGTCAAGGTCAGACAAAAGTCAAGGTCAAACCGTGCACCGTCCCTCCAGTCAAGAGAACTCACTCAGGTGGTCGTACAGCCACTGGGCATGGATGTCCAGTTTGGTGTAGACGCCCGGCCTTTTCTTACGTCCACAGCCAACACCCCAACTCACCAGACCGGCCAGCTCAAATTTGTTGCCGGTGTAGCAGGACAGAGGACCGCCGGAGTCCCCCTGAGGACCAATCACATTCACCATGAAGAGTCGGAAGAAACGGGGGAACAGTTGACAGCACGGGGGACATCTTTAAGACGTCTTACCTGACAGGCGTCAACTCCGCCTTTCTCATTTCCTGCACAAAACATGGATGAGCGAATTCTGCCAGTGTAGTAACGATTACAAACATCAGGGGGCAGCACGGTGACATTCACCTCCTGGAGTCTGTTGATGCGAGGACCATCTGGACAAACGTTTGCGAGGACAGAGAAGGCAAGTATTTAGCTATCGAGGTCATAGACAGAAGGACAGACATTACAACGTGGACGATTTCGTGTCTCACTCTCGCGAGTGGAGCCCCAGCCTGTGATGGTGCACTCCCTGAACACTGGGAGCGCACTGGTCCAGATGGTAATTGGCCGGACGGACCGGGAGAAGGCGAGCGGCTGCTGCAGCTTCACCAGCGCGATGTCGTTCTCTTTGGTGCGTGAGTTGTAACCGTGATGCGGAAGGATCGCTGCCACGCCCATCATCTGAAACCACCGTTAACCAATCACAGTATTCGGTATCTACACATCTCTCACTTCCTGTTCCCTCACCTGCTGCCCCTCCTCCTTTTGAGCGTCTATGTCATGTTTTCCTGCCACCACGGTCCAGTACGATGCTTTTTTGAACCTTGGGACAGGTCAGAGTTAGCAGCAGCTCTGAGAGAATTTGTCACAAATGTCACATGATCATCTGACTTCTGACCTCTTGAAGCAGTGAGCCGCAGAAACAACCCACTGGGGGCTGATGATGGCGCCCCCACAGGCCGGCATGGAGGCGAAGCTGAGAGAAGCCTGCCAGGGCCATGAGAACGGGATGGCCTCCTGACCGCCGATGATCCGAGACTCCTCCTCCTGCTCCGGCTGGATGTTGCGAATACCTGCGATGTCTGATGAAACCACACGTTGATGCTAGGTCAGAGTTTAGTTGGGCCAAACTTGAAGATTCAAATTCAGTTTATACTAAATGTGTATGAAAACAGATGATGACAGAGTCTTTGAACACACCACGGTATCCAGAGTGTATCAGAAGTCCAGGGAAAGCAGTTTCATCCTGAGAGTCATCGAACGTCACGTTGGTCTGCGTCCTGTTTCCACCTTTGAACAAAAACATTACACCTTGGACAGAAATTCACTTTTGTTGTAGTTGTTAAATTCATTACTGCAGTATTTTATGTCATGACTGGCTAATCTAGTAACCTTTTTTTGGCTTGTGACCCCATTTTGACCTCAGAAATTTCTGGCGACCCCACAGACTTTTTTTTTTCTTTCTAGAATTAGTTTTTGATCACGTTTGTTATACTGTGTTGCCAACACCGAGCCAGTTTAGTACAAAAGTACTCAGAGGAACTGAAACAGCCGTCACTTGTGCGATCACATGGTCGCAGCTGTCAATCAAGGCGTGCCAGCTCAGATATTTCTATATGCTGCATTTTATTTAAGTGAACAGTTGTTTAGATGTGTGTGGTGTTTTAAATCATAATTATAAAAATAATAATGTTTGAAAAAATATTTTTAGTCATTTATTTAATCAATTACTCGACATTTCAGGCGACCATTTGAAACCAGGCGCCCCTTAGGTTGAGAACACTGGGCTTATCTGTGGTGCAGTTTAACCATTTTTACTAAACTTAGTGTTTTCTGGTTGAAGACTACAGTTATTGCGTAAATGTCTACAACGTGACTACAGTCTCATGACGGTATTTTGTTTCTGACCATTTCTCGACACGAAAGGTTTGAACTTTTAAACTCATGACGGTATTTTGTTTCTGACCATCTCTCGACACGAAAGGTCACAAGCAGTGATGTGTTAGGAGAGGATTTGAAGTTTGTAGGGTCATGGGTTTGTCAGAAAGGTCAAACGTCGAGACGTGGGACAGAAGAGGATTCAGCTGGATGTCCTTCCTGACAATCTGGACGGATTCAAACCGTGGACATTCTGGTGAGAATCCTACCACGTACACACATATACACACACACACGAAGGCCTTGAAAGTGTTCATTAAAATTTAAAATACAACCTTAAACCCAGACGTAGCCAGGAAAGTGATTTTAGAGAGCAGCACTTCCTGTTGGTCCTGACTTCAAGACTGAAACTTATTGACGTTTGTTAAGTGAAGCAGACTTCGTTCACTACTTGAATTCATGCATACACTAAACTACACTTATACAGTACTACAATTATTTGGAATTACTTTGCAGTAATGACTGTCCTGTTCCAGGGGTCTCACCTGTTCCAGCAGCATCTGTGGCGTTTCTGCTCTTGGCCGTCGGTGTCGCCGCCGTGTAAGAACACAAGAGACAAGAGGACAGAAGACAAATCACTGCCAGCATGATCAGGTCAGTCTCTCACACACAAACATTCAACACACTCTGACTCCAGCTCTTCATCACTCTCACCTGTGACATCACACACACCTGCGCACTCTGCGATGCCTTCTCTGATTGGTCAGTGGGAGGAGCTTCTGACTTTGTGACACTGACCAGCTGTTTTTTTTTACCATTTATTTATTGAACTTTATTAAGAGACCCGGCGAAGGGCAGCAGCCAATCAAAACATCGCATTCTCCACATAGTTACAGGTGTTTACATTTTTAAATATTTAAATATTCTTTTCTTATAATTCAGGTTTGTGGATTCAATATTGCTGCCCCCTCGTGGACACATATCCCAATTACAGCTTTACTAAAAGGGCTTCACAAAAAAAAATCACATTTATTTTTAAGTTAATTGCTACCACCCAGTGTCACCGCCTATGGGCTCAACTCTGAAATTGCACTTTTTTTTCCTTTAACATAATTTTAAAATGTTCATATTTATTTTACGTATTATGTTAAAAATATAAATGAAATTATACTATATACTTTGTCATATTTAATTGTTAAATAACTCTTATTGTGCTTTGTTGAACTTTTTCTTTTCTTTTTTATTTAGTTTATTATCGGATTCTTAATGAGAGTCAGTGGGCGGATTCTGGTGTGTGTGAAAATCCGGATCCGGATTCAGAGGCGGGATCTGAGGACGACGACGGTCATGTTGACGTTGATGATGACGTAGCGGTGATGATGTAAAATAAACTGAGGATGAAGATCTGGCTCTTCATCCTTCTCCTTCTCGTTCCCGCGCAGGGAGCGCGCCGCGCGGCTGTACGGAGGCGTGACGCTCCGGAACCGCATCTCCAGGATGACAGGTAGGTCCAGACCCGGTCCGGCTGGGACAGCACTGCCCGGCCTGACTCGACTCGGTTCCGAAATGCCTTGCATGTGAAACTTGGTGTTTAATGTATGGAATCGGACGCAGCCCTTTGCTCTCTCTCTCTCTCTCTCTCTCTTTCTCTCTCTCTCTCTCTCTCTCTCTCTCTCTCTCTCTCTCTCTTTCTTTCTCTCTCTTTCTCTCTCTCTCTCTCTCTCCCTCTCCCTGCTGCTCTGTACTGTTTAATCCGGGCCAGAACGGAGCCGGCGATTAGACAATCCGGGAAAAGGGGCGAAATAACGGTCATGAGGAAAAGGCCGTGGTTGTGGTCCAGAGAGGAGTAGACAGGAGTGAGGCGGTGGTGCGGTGGTCTCGGGGGTGAGCAGAACGGAACCGATGGTTCTATCCATGGAGGTTGGAGCTGATGCTGAGGACACACCTCACCTCCTTCTTCATCTTCCTTCATTACCCCCCTGAAACCTATCCTCTCATTAACCAACCTTCCAGAACCCCCCTGGGCCCCCCACACCACCTCCTCCTCCTCCTCCTCCTCCTCCTCCTCCTCCGTCTTCCCACTGAAGCAGAGCTGACCTGAGAGATGAAACTTCAAAGATCTCCAGCTGTGCCCTCTGTCACTTTCACATTAATGTGTGTATTTTTTAGACAAGTACATGATGCGGTGATAAGTGTGTGTATTTGTGTGTATCCAGCCTGATGTGTGTGTGCCGGCTGCGTACCTCTCTACCGTGTGTGTGTGATCATCTGCCAGAGGACTGCAGATGTGAGTTACGGTTCTACAGGCAGAACCTCCTCAGTCTACACTGGCCCTTTAAAAACTAATAAATAAAAAACTCTGGCTTAGAAAAGAAAAGGGGGAGGGGGTGATGGAAGACGGCAGAGAAAGACAAAAAAATAAAAATAAAATTCCTCTTCACCGTAATGAACTTGAACGGTGTTTAGTCTCAGTAGTTTCAGTATTTTTTAGTACTACTTTCAGATTTAAACCTTATACGGATAAACATTTTACCACTAGATGGTGCCAAATCCAGGGTATACATTTAAGTTAAAAAATACTTGTATTTATTTTCAATTATTCTTTTCTAGGATACGTCGGCGTAGAGTGGGTGATTTATTATAATTAACGAATGTATTTATCTTTGTATTAATTAATAACAGTCTGTATGTTATTAATTGTTGAAATAACATTATATCTAGCCCATAATAAAGCAGGTGTCAGGGGCCAGAGCTGCTGTAGTTGTACTGTGAATTTGTACTAATGGATAATGTAGACAGAAAATAAAAACTACAGATAAATACAGATGAAATCTAAACATTTTTGTTCATTTATTTATTCTAAAGATAAATTAAGTTGATTTTTTGTGTCAAATATTGACGTTGGACAATGGAAATAATACAATTAATTTTGATGACTAACACCAGGGCCACTTGTTAACTAATATGTATTTATGTGGGTTTTTAAAAAAAAAAAAAATATATATATCTTGTACATCATAATCCCAGCTAGATATAAGCCACAAATACTTGCGACTGTCTGACATTAGTCTTTCAGTATTGATTTTTGAACAACCACTGTCTTCTTCTTCTTTCCACTCACTGCCACCGCTCTTTTATCCGTGTCTTCCTACAGTGTTTCACCCACATCTGAAACTACCTGACGGTTGATTTGAATTCTAATCATTACAGGTCGTTTTGTCAAAGACACTTGTTTAATCTGTTGATCTGCTCCTCTACAACAGGTGTCACTTGTGTACTTTGACTTAA